CTTTAGGTGATTGAGCCAAGTAGCAGAGTTTCATCTTTCTCTTGCGCACCCTCAAATGCCAATTTTGTATTAGTTCCTTTGGGAACTGATTTTCTGATCCCTCGAATTATCAGAGACCTGTACTCCATCATGGCTTTCCTCCCTCCCTCCTGATTAGGGTTCCAATTGGGATCCACTAGTGGCAATTTGTCTTCCCCTGATGGCACTTGGGGTCCTGGATGGTTATCTTTTTCCCAAATTCTTAAGCTAGCGGCTCTAAGCATTCAGAACTCTTCTGGGGAAAATAATATATTTAGAATAGAATTCATCTCCCCCCAAGTGTAGATATTTGGGCCTAAGAACTGATCCACTTGGTTAGCAATGCCCACAGGGTCTTCAACTAAATTCCCTAACTCCTTCTTAAATCCTCTCACCTCAGAAGCAGTTAAAGGAGTATTCACAAAACCCACACCTCCCGCTACTCCTCCCATAGGAACTTCTCTAAGGGGAAAAAGTCTCTACTTTGGAGGTCCTGGATCAGGTACTGCAGTATGGCCCATCTTCAGACACAGAACTACTCATTTGAGGGGTATTAGCATTAGCCTGGACCTGCTGTAGGTCAACGGCTGTACCTGGTGATAAGAGGTTACTAGGTAAGGAAGTATTTGTGTCCCAGTTAGGGGAGGTGGAGGGAAAGCTGTAGGAGGGGGAGAAGAGCTTGAGTGCACGTTAAGTGGGGCTGGAGAAGGGGTGGAGCATGCAGCAGGTGAAGTAGTTATTAGTGGTGGTGAAGAAGCAGCTAAAGGAGTCAAAGGGGGTGGTGAGGGAGTGGCCCCCACGGCAGGCGGGGGAAGAGGTGGATGTGCCGTTTGAGGTGCTTGAAGGAGAGGGTTATAAGGTGAAGGGACATCAGAAGGCAAGTAGTCTAGGGGGTCCCATCTTTTACTGATTTCTTTAAGTCCAGCATCCCCTCTTTCATTCCCCTGCAAATTCGCACTCCTTCGTCCTTGATGGCATTCAACCAACAAGCTGCATATAATAATTGCTTGGGATCAGTATCTTCTCGAGCTGTCAGATAGTTACTCAGCTGTTGACACATCCACTTCTCTTTTGTCCCACACCATGGCCATCCTCCTTGCACATCTAATTCCAGCCACACTTCTTAACAGTAATGAATCATAACTTTATTAATCCTTCTGTGGCTTCTATAGAGTCCCATCTCTCTAACAGTTCACCTAGGGGACTGTGGGGGGGCTATATTCCTCAGTCTGGCCACTTTTCTTACTGTTGCACCCTCCCATTTTTTTCAGCCTCAAAAAAATATCACAAGATGCCTTTACCCTAAAGGAAATATCTCTTATTTAAGAAGTCCCAGCTTCCTCTGCCGAAACTCTGATTTCTCTGACCCTTTTCGTCAGGACTTTGTTGAGACCCTGGCCTCTCTCGCAGATACTCAACAAACAAAATAAAAAAAAATCCTCGAGACCCTGGCCTCTGACACTGTCTGCCTGACCTCCTTTGTCAAGACTTTGTTTGCCTGCAGGACTTTTATACTTGCCCAAATCCTTCTCGGGACTTGTGAGTTTGCCTAACCTCTCTTGTCAGGACTTAAAAGTATTGCCTAATTTTCAGTTTGCCTGACCTTCCCCTGTCAGGACGTAACACTTCAGGGCTTGAAAAAACTTGAGATAGGCTTCCTCTGCCAGACCTCGTGCCTGACCGCAGTTGTCAGGACTTAAAACCAAAACTGCCTGATTTTCTGAATCGCCTAACTTCCTTCGTTAGGACCTGTATCAGGACTTTTGGGATACGTGCCACTCGCACAACTATTTCCTCCGCACGCCCGGAGGAGGGGGGGGTCCTCTTTACCCCTTTGGAGGCACCTCAGTCACCAATTCCACTCGATTACCCCTGTTCCTGGCCAGCCCCCTTGTGGGGGTGTGGAACCGTGGTACTAAGAGGTCCACACTCCCTCCGAGGGGCCAAGCTGCTGGCCCTCGTATCACTCACACAACACTCGCTCGCCTCCCTCTCGCACTACCGGATACTCTCACCAATCTGGCGCTCCTCGGTGTCACTGTCCCGAGCTGATCTTCTCTGGTCCTGGTAGCCAGCTGGCCTGCAGGTCCAGGGTGGGCGGCTGTCCCAGTCCTGGTGCCCTCTTCAGGCATGGCTATCCCGGACGAGTCCCCAAGCTGATATAAATGGGCAGGAGATCTTTCTCCTTTTTAATGCCTTTATTAAAGAGAATCAGCTCAGGTGGGGAGAAATCGACGGGTCACGCCCACGCCACCGCTGCTCCCCGGAGTGGCATGAAGAAGAGGATGATGATGCAGCTTTGTACTCTGGTCTGCAGGCAGAGCTGGGGACTGCGTCCTCACGGGAGATTCGCAGATTCCGCTTTTCGGTTCAACACTTCGGGTCCTCTCCCTAGTGAACATCTTTTCAGGTTAGGGTGAGAAGCAAAAAGGATCCAAGCAGGCACTGGGACTACACGCCCATCCTTGGACATCACCTAGGTCCCCTAATTCTATGTTGGCTCGTTGTTTTTAGGGGTTTTCCTGGAAAGCTGTAAGATTTGGTGCAATGCATTTCTCATCTGCATACTAGCTCTGATGCCACTCCCATGCCCTGCTGCTGCAGGGTCCCAGTGTCGCTCCCTGGCAAGCACCAGGGGGACAATGGCTAATCACCAACCACTACCAGGTAATTGAAGAAGAACTCTTAACAATGAAGCTAACTTAACAGCAACTGGTCCAACCGGTTTTAACTCTGCAACCTTAAAAAAAATAGGTAACTTTATTCATAACACATAGTGATCATTTTTCACATGCAAGACCAGTGGCTTTTTTCAGCATTCAGATTCCATGTCTTCCTTTTCACCTTACACTTAATTTTTACACCCAGCAGCAGACAAGTTAAAGAGACACCACAACCATGAAATACAGTCAAGTAATTTTAAAAGAGTTTAAAACACAGTTTAAAATCTAATTTTAAAGTCTATGAGGCACTTGTACGTTGTAATGAGATGTAAGATATATATCGTACACTGTATATATATCTATATCTATAAATATACATATATATCACATATACATATACACAATATATATATAAATATTGTACATTGTCATTTTCTCAGATATATATATATGTGCCTCCCAGTAAAGACTCTGCCAAAAATAAAATCTTGACTCTTCTATGTAGTTGAATCAAAAGATACAGAAGATAGAAAACAGGATTGTAGAGACTGAATGCAAATTGAGGAAATAAATTTTATTTAAGCAGCGTATCCCGCCCACTTCAAAACTTACTGCTCAGTATTTCAGGTTGATGTTTATATACCTAATTTATTTGTTAAAAAGCAGGAATACTACTAAATCCACTTCAGCAAAGAAACCACTTTCAGGGTACTTCTTCTGTCCTGCTGAAGAGCTGCTCTATTTAGCATAGCTCGACATCACAGGCATCAGCAGCTGATTTTCGGGCACATTTATCTCTATTTAATGTGCATCACAGATACTGCCTTCCTGGCAAATGCTGCCTTTCTTGGTACAGCTCTGCAATGGAGAGAAAACACCTACAAGCTTTTTGTGTTGATTAGCAAGCTAAGAGAACATAGACTGAAAGCACTGTGTTAATCAAAATCTGGTAAAAATAACAGTAAAGCTGAAAGCAACTATTAATTTTGTAACAAAAGTCCTTTTTCTGTGAGTTTAGAATAACTGTGTTTTGTACAGATGCAAACATCAGGAACTTATGGAGCTGCCAGAGATCAGAGGTATTTACAAAAGGCAGCAAGCCTGGACTTAATACAGTTTCCCAAAATGATAAATTCATGCTGTGGAGTGACTTAGGTATGTTTTAAATCTTGCAACAGCTTTTTCTCTACATTGTCTAAGAAAGCTAACTTTTCTAGTGGGAGTGAAGAGAGGTGATAAATAACAGTGGATAGGAGAAGTAGCAACATGGAATGAGAAAATCGGTGCAAGAAGAAAGCTGCATTTCTTTCATAATCAAACTCAAAAGCAGACAAACAGCACAAAAATAAGAGGAAGCATAGTAAGAATCTACCACATGAAGATAGGGGAAAAAGCCAAGAAAGCTGAGAATGTCTAAGGGACAACAGAAATAAGAAGGAAAATTTATAGCTGTCATTTAAGATGGAAATTAAACAAATAAACTCCTGGGATGCCAGGATGATTTTCTGCCTTTTCTTTCATATACATTTTATATAACTTTCATGTATCCTCAGTATTCTTATATGCATACTTGTAATTCCTTAAGTCTGGTAATTGCATAGTCCTAGTATTTTGTTAGGCCAGAAGACCAAACACCCTAAAGGCCTTGTAGTAGGATGCCAGAAAACCCTATACTATCTTGAGAAACTGAGGCCCCCTCTAGCACATATCCTGTAGAGATCTGACCCATCCAGAAGGGTATTCCTCGGATGGGGGAGTATCATGCCATTCATCCAGGCCTTCCATTGGGGCAGCCTTGTTAGATGCGCTAATTTGTGAGGTCTATAAATTGTACATGCGGTCTATCGTATGTGTGCTTGCAGCACATGCCACCTTGGTGAAACAGAGCACCATAAGTATCCTTCTTAAAATACAAAGGTAAATGCCCCTTATTCTCTTAACCATGTCTGGCTTTCAATATTTTCAGACCAGGAAGAGGCATTAACTGGAATATTCTTGTTTGTTTTTCAAAATGGCAGACCAGGATACAGGAAAAAAAGACTAGGGAATATTAAGACAAATTAAATGTATAGACATAATCAGGAATGCTTGAGGAAAGTCACTGGATACCATGGAGTTGGTAGTTATATCTTAAAAGACATACATGTAAACTTACATATAATGCATGTATGCACGCACTTCTCTGATGGCAACACATTTCAGTGTTTTTCTTAATACCTTGGGGACTGGACTAGATGACATTTAAAGGTCCATTTTAGCCCAAACTATTCTATGACTGTAAGATCCTAGTATGTTTCTGTAGAAAACAAACAAAAAAGTTAAAATTAGTTTGAAGTAACTTTGGTGCATTGGAGAAATGGTCTAAAATTAGTATTTCTTTAAAAAGAAACATAACAAAGTGGTAAGTACTACACTTAATAAAAATAAAAACACATATACATACAAAAAAATGGGAAACAATTGTTTTGCAATTAGTACTGTCTAAAAGGAGCTGAGAATTTTCAAATATCCAGGTAAGAATCAGAGCTGCAAAGTTGTTGCAAAACAAGTTAATTGTGATTTACATAAATAAGGCTGCCTAATTAGCACATGAGAGGTGATTATCTTGGGGGGGGGGGGGGTAGCATAAGGGGGGGTATGAAAAGACCATAAACACAGTACTATTTTGTATGAGTATACACAGGGTGAGTAATAGTTTTGCAAATCTGTAATTACAGATTCATGTAGGAGCATTTGTGCCTGGTGGACCTTTTTGTGGGAGAGGACGACCAAGGTATATAGGATGCAAAGAGAAATGGTAAGCATGTGCCTGGGCTGCCTGCCCACCGTGTCTGACACATTTGGAAGTTGCTCCACTGAAAGAAACACTCCTCAGCTAAAAACTGTGGTCAATGGAGGAGAATTCAGCAGCATTTAGAAAATGGATTTTCACAGGATGGTTGCCTTTTAAGATAGCAGTCTTTAGACAGAGCAAAACTTTTGTGTTACCTTACTTTATATTTATTTTCAATTTTATATTACTTTTTTACTAGATGCCAGCAAAATTTTAAGATCTTTTACCACTAAAACATTTTGAAAGCATTAAAAGCAATGCAGTATAAAAAAAGTGACAATGCACAGTCTGTTTTAAAGAATTAGATTTGTGCCTTTAGTGTGGCAAACCAGCCACAGTGGTGCCAATCCAAAAGTTCCAAAATTCCAAGCCTAAGAATAGAAATTGATTAAATAGTAGTTTATTTGTTGATCCCTGGTGCCGTAGTTTTCCCAGGTTCTCACATGAAAAACAATACACACCACCTCATCCTGCGATTTTACAGCATCAGTCCACTTGTTCTGCAGTACACAATATGATCAGCTTGGCCCTTGTGTTTTTCAGTAACACTTATTCCTCATAAGAATGTCTAGCAGCATGCATTGAAATGACAGATAAGCACATCGTAGTTTCCTGTGGAAAACAAATCCCTGTCCAGAACAACTGTTTTCATTTTGTAAATCGCAGCCTAAATTCCTTGATATATAACTCAGCTGATGTCCCTCCCTATGTCCCTTTTACCAATTCTGTGAGCTCATGATGTCTGTGAAATGGCAGCAACAGCTAAATCCCACTCTATGGAGAAAGAGGAAATGGCAATCCAGAAAAGATACAGATGTCAGGGCTGAAGATTTTTGTATTCTACTCTTCTTATCAGGCTGATACCAATACTTCACTCAAAGAAAAAAACAGATTATAGGACCAAATCTTGAAGGTTTGTCCTATTCACAATATAAGCCAGATGAATGGGAAGCAAATGGACATTGCTGATGCTTGAAGACCAACCTAACTCCAGCTGAGAGTCTGGGTTCTTTTAGTTTCTGACAATGCACAAATTCTACACAGTATATTTCTGTACAGAAATGACAACTTTGGGAAATCATACAAATGTTGTATTTATTGAAAAGCTGCTTTAAAATCTGACAGTTGAGAGGGATATGAGAGGTTGATTATCCAGAACCACTGAAAGTAGCTTGTAAAGCTCATAATTCAGAGAGAAAAATTCTTTATTTTCCTATCTGCTTTAAGTAGAGACATACGAACTGAAAAGCTGGCCTTCCCTCAGACTCATCAGTACTGCACCCCCTGGAATGCAAAACTCTCATCTCAACTCCAGAGTTATATATAAAAAAAACTACTTTCTTTTAACATGGATTTAGATGGAACATGAATATTCCTCTAAAAGAGGGATTTTCTGGTCCATTTCACAGTCCACCAGGTAATAGCCTATTAAGAATGCAAGCAACAATAATTGTGTTGCATATTCTTTGAAAATTTGTCATAAAATCCAAATCAAATCAGCAACACCTTCAACATTTTCTCAGCCTACCTAGACCAGACAGCACAGGACAGGTGCTAGATGCTTATCCTATTGTCTGGAGGATATTTCCAGGCTTTCCACTCCCACTGCACATACTCAGCTAAAATAAACATTTCAAAAAATTGAGTACTCCCTGTGGAACTACACTGACTCATGCATGTCTGCACACGACATGAGCAGAGGTCAGCTGAAGACCTTTTAAGTCCTTTGAGTTACACAGTGTGGACCTGGTGGACTCAAATCAAGACTTCATGTGACTCTTGAAATCCAAGGCTTGCTTTTATTCCAGAAGCATACTGCCAAGGCTTTCACTGTTGTATTTTGGGCTTAACATTTCTACTGCAAAGTCCAGGGGATTGTAGATTCCAAAGGCAGCCTAAAGCTTCAGGCTGCATGGAAAAAGCAGAAGGCTAAGCTGCCTTCTGAGACATAAGCAGATCTCCCACTATAGTTCTGTTCTTTCCTCTTAACCATCACTTTAAACCTCAGCATTGTTACACTTTCAGGAAGGGTCCCACAGCTTATATGCCTTGTAGACTTTCAAATCCCCATCCCAAATGTCAATGCCTGGCTCTTCTCAGCACCATGCCACACTTTGCTTCTGTAACACAACTGATGGCTATTGCTGAAGGGGTCTTTGGTACCACTTTGGGTTTAGGCTAAAGAAGGATGTTTCCATAAGGATTTTTTTTTTACACCAACGGAACTGTTTGAGTAATTTTGGCATAATTCACCTGCATTTGTTGCACACATCTAAATAAAATGCATGCATAACCAAATCTGACATTCCAAAAATCAAATTCAAGATGGTTACAAAATTACTAAGATTATTAAGTATACTCTTTCTTAGTGCTACTAAGATAAAGCAAATAGGAGAGACCATGTACATTTCTTTTTATAAAAAGCAAACACAACCCCTTTCTAAGTGATTTCCTACTAGGAAGGGCGACAAATCCTTTGAGTGTAAAACCCCGAATTTCCTCCACTTATCATGGTGCACAGCCAATCTTTCTCTAGAAATCGCTCAAAAATTTAAATTCTGAAATACACAAAAATGAAAACACTCATATGAAATCTCTTGTGATTAAACTGCTGTTCACATGAATAAGACACTACCTACATTTAGATGCAAAAAGTATTTATTCTGCTGCACCCAAAAGAAGGGGGGAATAAATGGCCTACTCAATTATTTCTAAAAGTAAACAATTTAGACTAGTAGAATGATATGAAGTCTGGTTATTACATGCTCTTTGGAGATTTTGCAAGCTGAAAAAGACTAGTATATATCAGAAAAGTAGGAAAAAAAGCACACTGGTAGACAATAAACATTTATTGATCTTTGGCTTTAGAAATTGTCTTATTTTGGACAGGGGAAATACTATATAAAATAATGGGGTTGTAAAATTCTTTACATTGCACAAGTGCAAGGCATGCAGAGTACATGTAAGGATACTAAAATACTATAGGAACAGTACTGCAATAGACATTGTATGTCCAACACGGGTTAATGCTTTACAAAGGTAAGCAAGCTGGAGCCACTTGATAAACAGCAGATATCACAGTTTCTCTTAGATTTGCTGTGGTATTACCATGAGCAACTAATAGACATAAATTTCATTTTAATAATGTGTGCATTATAAAAGCAGAGTTAAACTATAACATTTCAGCAAAATGAATAGGGAATAAGAAAGTATAACCTTGCTTCAGTTTTGTGATATTTACTGTTGTTAAAGAAATTTAGGCATTTTAAAGACAATTCATTATTTTCATATTAATATAAAACGAGCAAGGCAAAACTAGCTTCTTAAATGCCCTACAGTAAAAAATGTAATGTAACTTCTTACAAATAGCGTAAGGAAATATTTAGCAAGCTTACTGTACCAGGTTTTCCCAAACAGTGTACTATATACAGTACGGATTTCTACAGCCACTTTTTAGAGCTAAAAGCTCAACATGCTGTGACCAGCCTTCCTCAGAAGAAGGCTTCCTTTGGTAGATTTGAACCAGCAACACCATCTCAACTTACAAGCACTTCACATGCAGAATGTATAATTAACTCAGGAGCATGGGCCTGTTGTTTCCTCACTTTTTTAATGTCCTTGCTGAACCAGTCAGGTTCTACCTTCAGCTCTTGAATTCCTGAAGGTGGACAAGCAGTTTTAAAGTAAGGGTGGTTTCACTATTGAATACTCTAACAGAATTCTACAAAATTCTACCAGGTGTAACTTTTGGAAGCTTGGTGTCAGTCAGCAGTATCACAATTGGTACTCTTTATGCTCCAAATCCATAAGGATTCAGCAACCTTCAGTGTTGCCTTTCTAAGCCCAAGCAGAACTACTTACCTGTCTGAAATCACCCCCGTGCCTGGGCTACAATTAACACGCAGGTGTCACTACAGAACTTTGTAAGTCAAACCATTCCAAATCTTGTAAATACTTGCCCCTCAGTCATAAAGAAAACAATGCAGAGGTGGCAGAGGGAGGCGTGTTAATTTAAATTAGGGGTGTTCAATTATCAGTCAGATATGGGCAAAATCGTTATATTACCATTTAAGTAAGAGGAATGGAAAATATTTCTTCAAAATCTTATTTTGTTTCCAATATGTAACAGCACAAAACCACACATGGACATTACACAAGCCAAAAAATGTATTAAAAAAAATTTCATAGCAAACCCTATTTCAAGGGCTACCAGAATCACCCACAATTAGGCACTTTACAGTGTACAAAAAGAATATTACTGGAGGTTGTTTATTAGCTGTAGTAGTTGTACCAAAGTATTATCCACACCACTAAAAAAACCCCCAAAACAACCAAAAAAAACACCCCAATGTGAGCTTTTTCACCTTGTGTTGTGCTCTTCTGATCACAGATCCTGATGAATATTTAAAAGTATAGGAGCCAATTTGTTTTTAAACAGCAGTTAATGCAACATCAGATCCATATAATGCAAACACCACTTGACACCATCCTCACTGTGAAGCACGACAGTCTTAGTACTTGTAAAGCCGTAACTATAAAAATCATATTTTTACAGTATTGTAGCAGTAAGAGGAAGCTAAAATTTACATACATAACACCAGAGTCTTTTCCATTTGGCAAATACTGAAATGAAGGTAGGGAAATCTTTTTGTCTTAGGTCTATATTCTAGAGTAGAAAGTATTATGTGCTTTTCACTTAAAGATAAAAATAAAAAAGACTATTAACTGAAGAACAACATTGAATTTGTGTGTTCCCAGCAGCAATTAAACAAGTAGAAGATTTAAACTAAAATATTTACAACTTGGAAGATATTCCCTGTGCAATTTGTAACATGTCTACCTTATGAGAAATTTTAGGCTGAAATTATTTAATAGCATCTTTGTATTAATATTTGCTCACATAAATGGAAGACTGAAACATTAGACATCTTTCAGTAACTTCTATTACAGAATTTTTTCCATGTATATTCCTCCTAGAAAGCCCTACATACTGCTAACAATGGAACAAAGGAATGACCAAAGATAGGAAAAATAAAAACTGTTGGCACATCATGACATGGGTATGAACTGCAGTTATGAAATACCATTTTTGGTGCCTTTTTCTTTGTCCTATGTTTTTATGAAAAATACTGTGAATATGTATTCTGGAAACTTAGAACAAATACGGGAGGCAGAGTTACTATGAACAGAGGAAGAGAGAATAAGTCTGACTTTAAGCACAGGAATTTTAAGCCAGGTTTTTAAAAATACACTGCAGCACAATAAAAGAATAATGACTTACTACTAAGGAGTTTGTAAAAAGCTATTCAAAGCTCTTTTGAGACATGTATTTTATAGATAGCAGGGTCATATGGATAGTAGGTTGTTGAGAAAAAATGCTGCAACTACAAATTCTAAGGGTCTTGACTGATGTATAACCTCACGGAAAAATCTGGTATTTACAGGTGGATTTTGGACTTCGCTATAAAATTGCATACCTGTTAATACTTCAGCTTAAACATCAAGCTTAAAAAAATGTAGAAGTTTTTGATTTCTAGTTGCAGGCACCGATATTAATTTTAAAAAAATGAAAATATGATCCATAGTATTAGGATTAAAAATAATTTCCATTAAAAATACCATTGAAATCAAAGGTATAAAAATACATATACACTGCATGCAAAACAACATCCAGTGCAATATTACCCTCCTGGTAGTCCACAGTGAGAGAGACTGGAAAAAGTTAAGTGCAGCATACACAGATGTCAGTAAAAAGCAGCCTGGAAATGACATGTTGGCTTCATGATCTCACCTAGAGGAGGAAGACCTTTCAGTCTTGCATTCAGGAGTGCAAATGAGACACGCCATCTACTTCATCATACAGCATATGACTGTATGTGCTGCACAGGTCATAAAGCATGGCAAGCCTTCCCAAAGAAGGAGGCACTAAAATCACTGTGAAGCACAGACAGACCAATCTGAATCAGCCTACTTAGTGAGATCAGACATCTGGCTTCTAATAATATGTTGCCTAGATGCTCTTTAGAGTAGGTATCTGTGACATCAAAATATTGCTCTTTATTTACCATTTGGGATTTAGGCTGCAGATGTTAAAAATAACAGTCTTACTCATAATTCACATTTAATATCTGATTTAAGATGAAAGTAACCTGCTGTTGCCTTCCTCCATTAAGATTTTGCTCAGGCGTAACACAAGAGAACACACAGTTTTCTTTGGCCTCATACTTGTTCAGTGTCTCCATTTTGTCTGGGCACTCAATTCTTTAACTAAAAGTATCTAGGAAATTTATAGTGACAAAATTAACTGTGGGGTTAAGGTGTGGAGAGGCTGTGTCGAACAAATTAATGTGCAAAATGTGTCATGAGAAAAACCATAAAGTGTACTATTTAAAAACTGATAAAAATTATCTCTGTGAAAAGCACAGCTATATTTGATAATAAAGAGACATAAGGCCTTTTACCTTGGAGAATCTTCCAACAGCTTTAAGATCAGATGTGTTCAATTTTCTATTTGATATATTCAAAATGCCTATTACCACTTAGGTGTAGTTACTGTAATGAAGCACAGCACTTTGAATTGTTTCTTGAAAGTTAGCTGAAATTTCCATACTTGCTAACCACTACATAGAGTGAGTTATGCCGCCTACATGTTGTGTTGATGTCTTGGTAGCATTTTTGTTCTTAAGACAAATTTGACTTTACAATCCAGGGAAGAACATATCACTGTTTAAACACCTTGAAGTACTTGTGATCCAAATGAGGAGAAGAACTGCAACAGAAATTAACTTTCTGTAAGTATCCTCTGTACAAGGATGTTCTCTTGTACTGATGCTACTATTTAATCTGTGGATCCTTTATGCAAGAGAATTCTGGAAGAGGGAAAGACTGCACAGCTAACAAAACCTCAGAAACTGGTACAACCTATAGCTTGAGAAGGAATTAAAAGAGGACAAGTGCAGCCTGAAAATGTCACCTACCAAGTGTAAGAACAGGCTTTCTATAATCTATTCTCCTATTCTTAATCAACTTCTCTTAGCTCAGAAATAGCCCAAGTGTTATGACTGGACCTCCATTGCTGGAAGACTTGGATTTTTCACTGTCTTAACCCTTTGTCTAAAGGGATCCACATAATAAAAGTGCACACTTTAAACAAATGTTAACAAGTTTGTTCATATTTCAGATGGAATTTTAAGTTATTTAAACTATTTAAAGGAACTAATCCTTCAAAAACAGATACATTTAAACTAAACACAAGTCAAAATACAATCTTGAACAAATTTAGCCTACTTGGTTCTGAGAAGGGAATGTAGGGACAGCGCTGTAGATCGGCAATAGAAGTCACATCACCAAGAAAGGAAGGGAGATCTGAATTTAAGAAGAAAGAAACAGACATGGATTCTTTGCCGAAGGAACATTTCCTTCTAAAATCTCTCAGAAACTAAGGGAGATCTCACTGTGGCTTCCAAGTACTTAAAGGGGGCTTATAAAAAGGAGGGAGAATGACTTTTTGCACAGGCAGGGAGTGACAGGACAAATGGGAACACTTCTAAACTGGAAGAGGGGAGATTTAGATTAGGTGTTAGATGGACACTCTTGCCTGTGAAGGTGGTGAGGCACTAGATACGGTTACCCAGAGAAGCTGTGGCTGCCCATCTCTGGATGTGTTCAAGGCCATGTTTGAGGGGCTTGGAGCAACCTGGTCTGTGAAAAGCGATCCATTCCAGATCCATTCTAACACAAACCATTCTACAATTTTTTTATTAAGTAGTGGGCAAAAAGCAAGACAAAATGTTTAAGAAACCTGAGTAGCACCTACCTACCTTTCAGTCACATTTTACTGCTTTTCCATTTCTGCAGGATGTTTTCCCCCCATCACCAGGTGCTGATAAAGGTCTCCATGAAACAAACAAAGCACTTCCCAGCTGCAAAGGAACTTACTACAGAAGTAAGCAGATATTCCTTTGAACCTTACACAATATATATGGAAGTCAGGACTATCAGGGTTGCTGCTTTACTTTAAAACATATTTTTGATCGTATCACATACTTGCCAGAAGCACTGCTCACAACCTCAGCAATATGGTCCCTCTGGTTTCATTGTCACCACATTTCAAAGGCTTTTATTACCATATTTTAATTTTTCATAAGCCTTCTGGACTCATGTCAGGATTAAATGGATCCAAAGAAAGACCATCTCCCACTCACTGCTGAGCAGAAGGCCAACCATTCAATTCTGCAGAACAATGGTCTGAAGCACTGAACTTCATGTTTGCAACACTAGGTGCTTATTTTTCACTGTGATCAGTGTGATGTCTGAACAGTAAATCAGCATGAGCTCTTAGCAAAAGCTTTGTGAAGTTCAGCTACATGATCCTTATTACTTTTGCTGAATGCACTATTATGTAACTACAGTTCACTTTTACTTATAAGCTTTCAGAATGACTATGCCAGCAAAAACTGTTGCTTAACATTATTTTGAAGTATTCTGAAGTATCCAAAATTTAATCCTTCAGATTTCAACAACAGGTTACATCTCCTATATAGTGAGCTTCATCAGGCAAGTTCACTATCAGAAGCAAACTGTTTTGCATTGTTTTATTTTTCAGAGCAAAAGATTGGCATTGAACACCCTAACTCCAACCTAAAAGCTGGCCTTACTAATTCCGTTAGCAATGATGTATCTTGTAGTAATGATATATCTTGAGCTAGTATGAAAATGGGTGCAGTATTGTTCGACCTGTCATATTCTGTCATTCAATTATTAATCTGAAAAATACTTCCACGGAATGCCTGAAATTTGAAACTATGAGGTTAAATATTATTCTTTAAGCCAATTCACAGTTAAGCCATTGTCCCTATTACAAAAAGTTGGTGTGAAAACAACAAAGCTTGCAGTCCCAGTCACACTGAAATACTGCAATGAAACCAGTAGCATCATGCAAGGTGTTCTCAGACATCCCAAACACATGCAATAGGTACTAGGCTGGTGTACACAAATCTTTCTCCAATAAATGCAACTTAATAAACTAATAAATAACTTAAAAGGTTTTCAACACAGCAAGATAGTTTATCACCAGCTTAAAATCTTGATTTTCTGCATTCATTGAGTTTGTTCTCCCATATGGTAGGTTTGCTACATATTAAAAATTTAGTTAAGCTTTTCCATTTATAAATGCTTATTATATGCAAAGCTGTACACAAATTCAAGAGAAAAAGAACAGTAACATAAAAACAACTAGTATTAGCAAAAAAAAAAAACCCACTGACGCTGTGAAGTTTAATATTAACTGTTTAAAAAAGCTACTGAATATAAATCCCCATTCCTGTTTTGCAAATACACAAAACACTTGAAAAACTGTAAATAATTTTATGACTGGAATCTATCTATCCAGTTAAGCAAAAATTGTAACGTTAATACTTTGATATTTTTCTTATTACATAGCTGTTTTATTATACGGAAAATCTATGAAGCCAAGATATAGTAATTATCATTATGTAGTCAAGTTAGCACAGATTAAAGTGGCAGAAGATGATGATTTGACAGAACAGAAATTTTAAGATTAACAGTTTAAGTAGATCTTTACTTCCAAGACAGTGTATGTTCTTTAGTATAGCTAAGTACCTCTAAAGAGGCACAAAAACCAAATAGCCCTTTCAACTGAACTCAGAAAGAAAAAAAAAAAAGAAAAAAAAGAAAAAATTAAATGTTTAATTTCAAAAGGGAATCTTGAAATTATTAGATACACATACACCCCTCTCCCATAGCACTGTAAGATACATTCAGGAATTTAAAATAAAGATTCCATATTTCATACCTTCATATATATTATATATTTGATATATAATATACATGTACATTACATATATACATACAGTATTAGTCAGCAGGATTAAACTGTTTTGTTTTGAAATGTTTGACTGGTGTCACTAATTATTTTCTGTTCTTTTGTAAATTCAATGGAATTTATCTATGACCTCAAAAGAAGAAATTTAAAAGATCCAGACACAATGTGTGGATCAATACTAGCACCAATACAGATGGCCATTACTTCAAAATGACTGCAGGGACTGAAATAATATATTTGCTATAACTCTCTTCTTACTGCACAAGCACTCCTGCAAAATATGTAGGCAGCAATACCTGTCAGGTACACACATCGGCTCCTGTTAAATTTATATTTTATACAACTTTCCCTACTGTAATATACAGTATCTCTTTTGTCCTGTTGGATTTTTTTTAATTTTCCAAGGAGAAAAGTGATCAATAGCTGTCCAACAGAATTTTTTTTAAATCCCCTCTCTCTCCTTTCACTTGTATGGCTCAGTTTCAAGACTTAGTCAATAGGCAGCTTAATCAATAGCCACCGTCACTATGTCCAGTACCCTTAAAATGCAGTTCAGACAGTGACTGTTGATGCCTAAAAAACAAATTTTTGAGTTTGGCTTGCTGTTTATGGAAACCAAGGTACTCAGAGGTCACATCTTTTCAGCATGCTTACCACCATCAACAACACAATAATGTCAGTCAGTCCCACGACTATAACTGAATTATTTTCCTAACATTTGGGTAAACAAAAATAACAAACCCAGTTGCAATTTTAAACATTTTAAGATTATTCACCCTGAGAACACCAAGGAAGTCTGTAAAAATAATTATGATATGTTTTCTCTTCACATATATAGTTTTCCCTTCATCTCCTCTTGGGTACCTGGGTTTGTATCTACAATCTCACCTCACATTTGCTCTGTCAGTTGACTTGTTCATGCCACAGTCAGGTACTGGTGATAGAAGAGACCAAAAAGGCTTGTAGAAAAAAGGCAAGCAGCAATCCACCAAGTGAGGAAAGACAGGAGTCCCCGGAACAGGAGAGGAGTGAAAATATTCTTTAGGCTTCCCAAAGCCATTGTTATTTGTACTACAGTTACTTTCTTCTTTCCATCAGCAGGTGGAGACTCAGAATAAACAGAATTGGGAAGCAGGCTGTTTTCTACTGAAGTGTCGGAATTCAATCCTGGGTAGATGCCCCAAGAATAATTACCTGTTAAAAATAAACAAGTAACAGATTTTTGTAGAATTAAATTCAAGTTATGTTAATTCAATCACTCTGTAGTCTTTGATATATTTTTAATACACACACCAAAAAAAAGTTAAGTTTTTATAACTTAGTAAATACAAACTATATTCATCTGCATTACTTCCTGGTCATTCCAGGAAGTAGGATGAATCAATCCTACTTCATCCTGGGATAGGATTCATCTTGTATTTTGACATCCTAACATCTACATGTGATATAGCAACCTTGAGACCTCTGTATGTCCTGGGTATGATTGATCTTACCAGATGGAGATGTCTACTCCAAGGCAGGATGAATCACAACCTACTAAAGCCTATATCTAACCACTGCCTTTTTGCAAAGAGAATGACACAACTGCATGGCAGGCTATGAAAGACATGTCTCACAGGAAGGAAAGAAAAGAAAGAAGAAAAAGGAAAAGGAAAAGAAACCCAAACCAGCGCTACTTCAGATCTCCAAGTAACTACATGAACCCCCTATCTCACAATTTCCTACCAATGATAAAAAAGTTGAAAAATTCCTTTATAAGATATTCATGAAGTTAAATCAATCATACTTTATGCAGTTCACTTTTAAAATACTTCTAAAAAGACAAGTATTTCAACAGAAGTAAACAGTTTAATTGGTTGCATTATGTAATTTCTCAGAAATAAATAAAACAAATTAGCATGTAATTTGAAGATATCAAATGCAGCAACAGAAATAACTACTTAAAAACCACATACGAATGTTTTAAAGTATAAGAAACTACAAGGAATTGTTGTATTGCAAGTACCCATAAATTCTAATTCTCTTTAATCAGGTGAAAATAAAAAAGCCCTGTGGAACAGAATAAACGACTGTTGGTCCAATTTTGCCTACCTAGTGTTTTCAAGAGCAGAGTTGTGTGAAGAAGCATTACCAATGGTGCAACATACTGCAGTGCAATTACACAGAGATAATAGAATACTCGAGCCACCTAGAAAAAAGAAAGAGTATAAGTTCATTATTCCTGGTTGATCAAAGCAGACCTTTATGAATATGTCTAGAAAAAAAAACAATTTATTAAAAAACCCCAGTATTTATGCATTAAAGTTGTTTTAAGAATTTTCTAGTAATTCTTGGCATGTGACATACTGTCCTCAAAAGACCTAATGAAGAAATCCCCATAATGAATTCCAGTTTCAGGACATTTACAAATCTGAGAAGAAGGGCTGAAAGAAAATAATTAAAAACATCAATTCTGTTAAAAAAAAGAGAATCAACGTTGCTTCTGCAAACTGTATGCCATCATTCAATGATTCCTACTTTAATAGACCAGAAACAAAAATAAATTTATATGTTTAATTCTTCAAGTTCCCAGTCATTTACCAACTAAATCCCATTTCAAAAATGAAGTAGTAGTCACAGTCCAAAGCCCCATAAGAAGTAAATGAAAGCTTGGTCAATATTAGTGTCCTTTTTCAAAAGTGAGGTATTTTTAAGATTTCCAACTGGAAAACACTTATATTTTAAAACAATGGCAAGCTGAGTTTTCATTAGATCAATAACAGCATTTAATTGGTCTTTATTTCACTCATACACTATGGTTCATCGAAGTCCATTCAGATATATCCCTCCCCCTGCTCTCCCATAGGTTCCATTTTTCTCAATACTGTAACATTACATACAAGCTATTGACCTAAAAGATTAAACCAAATAAAGATGGAAAAAAGTAGTAAAATCAACAGCAAGCAAGCAGTGAAATAAAACTACCCGTGTTTTATAAAATAACAGAATGCAGGTTGGCAAAAATGATGAAGATAGACATGACAGTTTTGGGAACACCTTTCAAGTCTCAAAGGGCTTCTTAATGAGCATGCATCAAAAAACTAACACGAGAAAGAACACTGACAGAAGAAAAAGCATGAGACGAAATTTGTCAAAAAATTGGTGTAATATGACAAAAATAACCAATTAAAAAGTAATGATCACTGTAGAATGACAGACAGGAAAGAATTCACTTGCAGAAGTTCCTAAAAAAGGTAAAGCAGATATGATTAGTAAAACAAGACAAGACTATGTCTAGTGACTATGGCCTTCTCAAAGAGAATGTATGAAGATACTGCAGAAATGGATATAAGAAATGCCACACGGAGAAGGCGCAAGTGTTTTACAGATAGGAATAAAATTCCCAGTATTAAAATGGCACATTTATAGCAACTGGCACAGTTCCATCCTAACCAGCTGCTACTACATGCACTTCCTAATTTTTTTTTTTTTCTGGAGCAAATTCCTAGCCACTTTGTAAATAACTACAGCACCTTCAGACTATGACCTTCAGACACTTAGTGTAACTACATGTAATAATGACAATCCTAGAAGAGGAGTCTCTGTCTTATGCCATGCTTCAAATATTCCTCCTGCAATAGACCCCAACTCAGCAGGATCATTAGACAGCACTATCATACAGCACTAGAAATTTATTTTGCAGCCAACACACAACAGCCATTCCACCTGACCCATTTTTCAAGGTATGCTTTACTACTTTTCTTTAAAAAAAAATCCTCAGAAATTTCGCCTTGTCCACAATATGATAGGCAATTTTTTAATTAGGCTGGTGCACTGCTAAGTGGTCTGACAGAATCAAACATCTGTCATTTTATTCCAAAATATAACCACCTTGTCATAAATTTTCCCTCAATTTAAAAATTATAGTTGGTAACAGTATATTACCATTCTATAAACATTCAGTTTTTTCTTTCCCATGTTGTAGTTACAGATCACCACTCATTGGAAGGGATCTTTTATAACAACTTCTAAATAACCAAGGACAAACTATATGCATAACACAGATGATACTTCTCTCCATATTTTGGTTTGCAGAACTTCTCTGTAATGATTCTATTTTTACAGGAGATATAGTCTAGAAAGCTTCATTCAGATTTGAGCTCTGCTGCCACAGAAGACAACAAATTGGAAAAAAATTATTTGCACAGTCAAAATAGTACAAATATATATAATCTCAGTGCCACCATTCTTACCATTTTCTGTAAATCAACCATACTTATTCTACCAGCTTCCTTTTTCATCTGATCCACACTTTTCTGGGCTAAATTCAGATAGGCCTGTAAATGATGACGCATCATAGCCAACCGTAAAACACACAATAGGATTATAATCCACAATCTGATGGTATCAAATGTATCTTCTGACATTCTGTGGATAATAAAAAAAGGGTAATGCTGTTTTCCAAAAACCACCTACTGCTACAGTTATTTATTTGTATCATCTGTAATCCTGAGGCAAATTGTCAAAAGCAGTTAACACACAAACTACAGTTATGAAGTTCATATGCAAGTAATATTTACTTTTGCCTTATTTCTCTTTCCTACTACTTCTCAGTAGCCCTACAGCACAAATCCAAATTAGTATTCATTTGTCTGTAAACAAGAGCAGTTCCTAACTGCCTAAATTCTGAGTAATGAAGGCAGGACACTAAAAACGAAGGTTGCTCAGATAATTACAGGTTTTCAGACACACAGGAGTAGACAGTAAATAGTACTAGATTGTAAATGGGTACTTCAGCTGCCTGAGACACCCAGTAATAGCTCAACACTCATTTTAAGACGAACTGAGGAACAGAATATATAAAAATATGTGTATCTGTTGTGTTTTATGTAATAGCTCAATGGTCACAGGATCACTTTAGAAGCTTATCTCACCTTAAAAAGCAAGAAATTTATCAGTCCATCGTATCTCTTTCAAATCTATTTTGAATTAGCAAGACTAATTGTGACAATGACCATCAACTATACTTATACATTATTTCAGATACCAGTCTTCTTGGAACTCTTTCTCTTTTTATATTTTAAATATTTTACCTATCAATTCAATACCAGTTCATCAGTATGTAAATATTAAGACAAACCTCCTAGCTTAGTTCTCATGCCAACAGATCTTGACTGTTTTCACTGAAACCACTTCTCTCCTACACTAATATGCAAGACACGAGGTTCCAGCAGGTAGTGAGGTGGTATTCCACCCCTACAAAAAACAAAGCACTACTGCCAAGGAAATGTCAAGAGACAGCAATTTTTTGGGAACCACCACCTTAACACTCATAATTCTGCAACTCATTCTTTTGAAATAACAGAAGCTCCTTATAATTCAGCTGCACCTACCACAATACCTGACAGCAGATGGTATTAAACTCTTTCATGTTTCTTCAACTGGCAAAGAGCTCTAAGACAATGTTTTGTTCTCAATACCCCAAAAAGAACTTTTAAAGGAAATCTTACAAAGGAATGCTCTCTTTGCCCAATGGTGGGCTCATAATGTAGTCCTTAGTGATTGGTTTTACCCACAGCAGAACCATAAATAAAGGTGCCAAGAAGTTTATATGTAGCAATGTTCTGAAAAAAGAAAAAAAAAACAGGGAACTTAGTAAATGAAAACAATTACCATACTGTTGAAAGTATATAAGAATATATAGAGTATATAAGAAATATTCAAAAGCAGAAATATTAACTTTAAAATAGTTGGGAGAAAGATAAATAATAAAATTTCTTCCCTATTTTATAGGTATGGCTTACATTTCAACAAAACGGTAACATTATATATTGCAAAATCATACTGGATTTTGGCTTTAAAAAGAACAGGAGAAACAGTTGTCAGAGGTCAGATTACACAGTTTAATGAAGCATTTTACTTAGAAACCCTGATTAAATTAAACTTGGTACTTATATTAAAGATATTCAGACCAAAAAAAATATTGTATGAAACTGCACAACAAAAATAAAAGTAGTACTCTTTAGTAACTTTTGAGTACAAAGCAGCAGAATTTAAAAAGGGGATACAGTTTTTGGAGTTCTCCCTTAAATTAATATTCTTCTTTATTTCTAAACTTCTAAATTTTCTTCTCTATTTCTAAACCCATTTTCCCAGTCATTTTTCATTACTATAATGAAATGAGAACAGTTGAAGGGACTGGGTTGTTTCACCAGTGCAGTATTTCCTCACTAACTGAATCAGGTTTGTCTTCACCTTCACTGCAGTGCTTCTACACTATAGAAAAAATTATGTAATCAAAAATTGTTCTAAAGAACACAAGACCTTCTTGATTGCAAACTATCAAGCTTCCTAAAACCACTAAAATGTTTGCATGTTACAGAAGCTGTCATCACACACAAATTTAGATCTTTGATTTCAGATGAAGAAACAACCCCTGCCTGCTATTAAGTGGTGCTAGGGAATGCAACAGCCCCAAGGATTAGTCCAAAGCATTTAATTAGACTGTGAAAGCCTTTTATCTGAGCTTCTACTTATTTAGGAGATCCTACTGAGTTAACAGACTAGAGTGATGGACTGGCATGTGCCAAAGGGTGGTGGGAATCTCTATCTTTTTTGTTCTTGTTTTTGTTTTGTTTTTTGGTTTTTTTTTTTAATGGAACAGACAGGAAGGTTGAAATACTCTTGATGCAGATGCTGGCAAAGGAAGAAATATGTATGAAAACTGTACAACTTTGTTAAGAAGACTCCAAATGCAGGGAAGGATACCACTGCCAAAGGAAAAAAATCAAACCAGTTCTCAAAGCTGAAAGGGACACCAGATGATTTTTATTCTGTTTACTCAAAAACAGTGAACTTACTCCCTACACTCATAAAAGAATCATAATAATAATTTTGAACATATTAGTGACGTGGTACTTGACCATTAACCTTTAAGTTTTGGGGCTTTTTTTGGTCAGTGTTCCCTCCAAGTTAAGTGCTCCATTCCATTAAGGAATACATTTTGTTTTGGGTATTTTTGAATTGTTTAGTTCTGGTTCTTTTGTTGGGTTTTAAGGGAGATTTGTGCCTTTTTTGGGCACCTTAAGAGATGTGGGCACTTTTGGTTTGATTATGGTTTTTTCTTTGGTTTTTGTTGGTTTTGTATTTTGTTTAGTTGGTGAGCTTTTTCTTTGCAGTTGTTTTGGTTGGGGTTTTTTAAGTAAAGTATGTATTTGACTGCAGAGATAGACACTGTTTTAGCACCCAACTTAGAGAGCTTTCTATCAGTGACAAGTCATCCTCATTTACAACCCCCTCCTTTAGTCACTATCAAACAAGTGTATCAGCAAGGAAAAGTTACATTCTTCAGGTTTATTAGAACCTATCACTTGACAAATATTCTTTATAATGCCTTTACCTAATTATATGGATACCTTATCAAGTTTTAATCCATTTAATGTAATTTTCATACTGTTCCAGTTGAATAGTCAAAGTATCGGTAGACTTTCAAAAATAACTTGGTGGTGTTGAACAAAGTTATCTTCAACAACCAGTTCCAATATCGTCTACAGAAGTCTTAAATTTCATAACCACACTTCAGTGGATATCAACTTCCCTCTAGTTCTTAATTCATGAATTTTTGTTTCTGGGAGTTTATATTTCTGCCTAGGATATTATGTCTGTTGATCAAGGAAGATGCTGGAATACTTACAGAAAGACACAAAGAATTTTAAAATATTGAGAACCATAGCAATTAAGAACTAGATAGTTTATATGTCTGGAAAGAACAGATTAGGAAGTGACTCAATCAGTCTACACACAGACAAGAAACGTAACAGCAGATAAAAAAAACCAGTAGCTGGCTGCTACACAGACAACTACATTGAGTGCAAGTGTACTTGCTTATAAAATTTACCAAGACTGATGGACTCACATGAAACAGATTAATTTGTAAGCCGAACATTCCTGAAGGGAAAGAAAAAAAGTGAAGTTTGAACAAAAAATTATTTTCCTACTGGAAAACATAGTGGTTCTCTAAGGAAATTTACCAGATTGAATACCTACACTGCCCTATGCTGCAGAAGCTGTCATTATCACCTATTAAACATCAACAGTCAAGACCTCTGAAAGCCACTTGGAGATTCACCCTCTCAACCAGAGAATGCTCAAGAGAAATAGTTCAATTGGACAGAACATTTTACTACCAAATGGAAGGATGGCTGAAAATGAAAATACTCCTTTACATTGGTATTAACGTATGACCCTAATAAAATATTCTGGGTCATTTCTGCATTTTATCCTATGTAAACTTATTAAAGGAATAATGCCCAGCTCTAAGTGAAGGTGAAAAAAACCAGTCTGTGGTCACATTTGTACCTCCTGAAAGTTATCTTAACTTCTAGAAAGACATGATGGGGGAAGGAAAGCTGGACACAGAGACATTCACGGTGGAGTTCTTGCAGGAGGAAAGGAAAGCTCCTTTAATTGGAACTCTTAATTACAAGGCAAAGGATGTAACAGACTGGCAGAGCACAGGCTGAGCAGAAAGTGGCAGGTGGCAAATCTGCTCAAGATATGAAAAGCAGGCAGCAACAGAAGTCTTAAGTCACTACCTCCTTGTTGGAATAATTTGCTTAGTTTATTTTTAGACATAAAAGATTTAAGACTGAGTAGCATATACCTATTTGCATATATTTTCTCTTACTGTGTTATTTTTTCTGTTGCTAAATTCAGAGCATCCAGATGCATTTGAGCCAGTCGCAAGCCAGGGAATGTCAAAAAAGCACCAATAAGTGAACACAGAACAGCCAGGAACAATTTGAAGGTTAGTTTAGACACAGGACCCCTAAAAGAAAAGAAAGGAAATAAGCATTTTCTTGGGGAAGAAGTTGGGGGAGCAGGGAGTATCAGTATACTTTCAACCCAACAGTATCTAACATTTAATAAAAAAAGCCAACAGTATTCTGTAGGCTTCCTCCAAAATACTAGTATTATTAAAAACCAATCAGAAATTAAAATTTTAAAAAATACTTTCAAAACCAACCAAATAATCTATTTATTTCCTAGAAAAACAGAAAACCTAATTTACTGACAGTGGGATGTTAATTTGTTAGTAAAGGAAAAACAAAGAATAATTTTATACTGTAATTAGCAAAAAATTATATAACAGAAATCACAAAATTAATTATATAATTAATAAATACAGGTTTATACAAAGAAAAAAAAGAGAACAAAACAAAACCCTCAAACAAACAACAAAAACATCATGGTTATAGTGAAATGTAACTAACAGATCAAAGAGGAACGAAACCAAATCTAGTGATTCAAATGAGCTTCAGATTCTTTCTTAATCTATGTCACCTAATCTATCAGGAGACACCATCATTAACTCAGGTGCTGCTAAAAAAGGCAAAGCACTGCAATAGTTTATAACTAAACAAACACTTAACATGAAAATGAATACAGAAGGTAGTGACTTTGCAATAGCTTAGGAAAGCAGATTAAAGAAAGGCTAAGAAACACATGGGACTCAGTTAACAGTTTCCCATAAGTTTATTCATAAATTACACTGATCTAGTTTGAGGAAACTTCTGTTCCTCAAAAATAAAGATATGCCATGGCTTCTGCATGATACTTGAGACCAACCAAGTAAGAAATTTAATGTTGTGCTCCCAGTGATGAAATGGTCCCTAAATTTTAGCATGCATGTATAAGGAACTGTAAGAGATATCCATTTTGCAAGATACAAAGGCTGCCTATGACAGTGTTTGTGTATTTACGTAACATCACGAGCTATGGCATACTCCTTCAACAGTCTATATGAGGCTTGAATGTCCTGTAGAAAGAAGATGTTTTTGCGTGATAGGAACACAGCTACAACCTGAAAACAGGACTGAACAACACAACTTATTCTTAATGTGAAATTTAACACAAACTCCATCTTGTAGCTTTTGCACACTCCTTTTATATGCCATAGGAATGACAAAAATATTTAAACAATCCTTACTGAAGAGAAACACTGTGGAAAATGTGTTTACAACTTTGAACTATATTTTATGAACTACAATCAAAATGTCAATAATGGAATTATCTCCATATTAAAATGAAAACTTTAATGCAACTTCAGTTACTTGTGGGTACTTTCAGATCTTTTCATTAACTTCTTTAAACTATTGTAGGGATTATGACCATATACAAAAGCAAAACATGCTAGACAAAAGCTAAGAAAATCCAAATGGTTCATAAATTCACATATAAACAGACAAGTGATAAATTTACATATAAACAGACAAGTGCATTTCCAGAAACTTACTGGGATTCCAAACCTTGTTTTTCAAGAAACTGCATAGCACTTTCTGAGAAATTTGAGAATCCTGCAGGGAAACATATATTTATTTTATTACAGTACAAATGAATAATCTCCTTTGCAAAATAAAACAGTGGGTACCAAGTAATCTATTAAACAATTTTTCATATGTCTAGCAGAGCTCTTTCATGTGCTAATTAGTTGGCCACAATACAACAGAATTTGATTAACAACATCTGTAACATTTGGACACTTTGGAAAGATGAAAAAAGATAACTTTTAATATTCTTTTCCAGTAAAGCAGCTACACTTTACTATGAAAGTCAAAAATGGCTAAATCTGTAACTGGAAGGCAAATAGAATTAACAAAACAAACAAGCTAGGCAAAAATTAGACTATTTAAGAGAACAGCAGGAAAATGTACAGGATATTATTTAGAATCTTAATTTCAAAGCAAATTTTCTTAGAAGCATGTAATTTACACCATTCATTTTAACACAAATTTTCTCAAAAACTCTGAAAATATTTTTTTACAGATCATGCAATCACTACAGCTGTTTCAAACACTAAAGAAAGGAGTTACCTGATTCCAATCCAAACTCTAGATAGTTTTCTGTCACAATAAGTATTGCCATGGCTTTCACAAAGAAGAAAAAACCAAAGGTGACACAGACTGATCTTTCACCTCCATCCTCAACTTTGAAATAGTGAGTAGTCAATGAAAACAGTACCTTACTACGTAATAAAAAAGTCAAGGAAAATTAGGTTTGTAAAACTAAGAATTATAGTCTTGTATTTTGGTAATCTACACGGTTGTTCTATGGTGTGCATTTATTTCTTTTGAAGGTAGTATGTGTTCCGCCAATTTCAGGTTAAATTACAGAACACATTAAAGCATAATAATCACATAATACCTAGCCAGAGTTTTTATCTAGGCTTACTAATAGTAAGAAAGAAGACACATGGAAAGATGAACTTATATTTCTCTCCTTTCAGACAGAATCATTTTGTTCGGAAAATACTTTTAAGATCAAGTCCAACCATCAACCTAACACTAGCAAGTTCACCACTAAGCCATGTCCTCAAGCACTTCAACTACGCACACATTTGAGACTTCTAGCTCAAACAGAGTTAGGACAACAGCACACTGAGTCCTTTCTAGGAAAGCAAAATCTATCCCATGTTCACCTTGGAAAAACAAAGTCAGTCTTAAAACCCCTCTATGATCTTGTGTGATGTATCAAATCCTTTTATCTAGCCCCACTGTCACAAAGACAAACATATAAGAAATTACCTGCTCTGTTATCAGGGTGTTTTAAAAATATTTTTGAGGTATTCTTTTTTTACACATTTCTAAATCAGTTCTAAAGTATAACAGATTAGGATAAACTTTTCATGATACACTGTCAAATCTTATTACTACGAACTGTAGCTCATTGTAATTTAAATGGTATGCAATATCCAGTCCAGATTTAAATAAAGAATTTGGAGATAATTCCAGGCATTACGTTATTTGAAAAAAATACAGACACAGAGGGAAAAAAAGATTTTAAGAGTAACCTGTACCACTTTTTTCCTCCACTATGCAATAGTGCAGTTGTATTTGCCTATTTCTAATACTGAAAAAAAATTAATATGTAGAGTACATGAAAACATTTTTAGAGGTATGTATTCAGTAAAACATTTGAACAATCATCAATCTCTCAAGAAACTATGATTATGCTGCAACAGGCAGCACACATTTAACATACACACTGCTGAATTTTATGTATATGCAGAGAGGTTCTAATATGCACAATGTGGTCTAAGGATAGCATCTAGAAATTCTAATCTCATATAGTAATCATCTTCAGACCCCCTTATACTTTACAGAAGGAACTGATACATCAAAAGGAAGACTTATGTCATCACAAAAAGAAGTACATAATAGATCACACAGACTGTGTTCCGGACTTTGTTTCTCTAATAACACATGCTTAAACCAAGGCCCTTTTTACAGCTAGGGACATTAATCACAAATTGAAAACACCCTGAAGTTATACAAAGGACTTAGTAAGTTTGTGATCAACAAACCTAACATAACCTATCATCAGATTTATGACCCCCTAGATACTTCAGGACTTCAAGTATGGATTGTGCCTGAAGGATTTGGAAAATTCAAGGAGGAAAAATAAAGCATACTAACAATAAATTACAATTATAGTGCAGATTCAGTACTCAATAAATAGATCCATGATTATTCAAACTATACATGACTGAAACCCTCTGTTAGTTAAATAATTACCACTGCTTCTATTTTTGGGTTGGAGAAGATTGAAGAATTATGGCTTGCTTCATCACTTCCTTTCATTGCAAGACCTAATATTCAGGATCTACTGAAAGAATAATTTGGGAGTATTTAGTACTGAGTTAACAGAATGCCCACACCAGTTCCCCCTTTCATTCAGTTTTTTTTTTTTTGGCCACAAATATTATATACAGTTGCATATTAGATATAGCTGCAGCATTGTAGAGTTTATGGTACACCCTTTTACAAAAATAATTTTATTTTTTAAACTGCTGTGATTATGGAATTTTTGAATTTTATGGTTCATATGTTGAAGTGAAAAAGATCAATCTTCTGTTCCTACTAAAACATATGAAAACTGTGAATTCACAGAAACAGAGAACATTCTGAGTTGGATGGGACCCATAGGATCATCCAACTCCTGGGCCTGCACAGCACCATCCCCAAGAATCATGCCATGTGCCTGACACCACTGTCCAAATGCCTCTTGAACTCTGTCAGGCTTGGTGCTGTAAGCACTTCCCTAGGGAGCCTGTTCCAGTGATCAACCACCCTCCATGTGAAAACTTTTTCCTAATATTCAACCTAAACTTCCCCTGACTTCAGGCCATTTATTTGAGTCCTGTCACTGGCACCACAGAGGAGAGATCAGCGTCTGCCCCTCCTTTTCCCCAACAAGAAAGTTGTAGACTGCAATGAGTCTCGCCTCAGTCTCCTCTTCTCCAGGCTGAACAGGCCAAGTAACCTCAGCCACTCTTCATACAGCTTCCCCTCCTTCATCACCCTTGTGGCTTATTTAGACACTCTCTAATGGTTGAATATCTTTCTTAGTGCAGGACAATACCCTCCCTTGTCTGGCTGGCCATGCTGGGCCAGTTTGCCCTCCTGGCTGCCAGAGCACTGCTGACTCACACTCAACTTTCTGTCAACCAGCAGCACCAGGTCCTTTTCCATGGCACTACTTTCTAGACTCCTGTTCCCTGGTCTGCCCATACAACCAGGGTTGCTTCATCCCAGGTGCAGAGTCCAGCATTTTCCCTTGTTGAAGTTAAAATGGTTGGTGATTGCCCGTATCTCTTTGGGTTTGAATTTGTCGAGGTTGCTCTGCAGGGCCACCCTGCCTTCAAGGGAGTCAACAGCTTCTCCCAGTTTCCTATCATCTGCAAACTTGCTTTGTATCCTTAGTACAACTTTTCACCTCTTAACACACTGGCATGAAACAGAAAAAACACTTGTTAACAAAACACAAAATTGCTCTATATTTGACTTTGACATATCATGTTGACTGCTTTCCATCAAAAATATGTAGGCAACCAAATTTTTCTGAATCCTCCATTACCACAGAATCACTTCTGATCTTGACATATTGAGTTAGTGAGTAGTTGAGTGAGTTTTAAGTATTCTCTGCATCCCAAAAGCCTGATGTCAGAGGAATGAACCTCTTCTGAAATCTCATCTAACTAGGTTCCAAGTGACCACAAGAATTGTTACCAATACCCTCTGTATTGTACCTTCTTCACCCCAAAAGCTGTAATGCCTTGAATATATTATGCTATCTCATTTATGGAGATGTTAAGGCTAATAAAAGGTTCAGACCATGGTTCCTGGTACTGCATCCTTCTACACTGCCACTAATTCCTCATACAGGTACTAAGCACATACTAACAGCAGCTTGCACATTCACACTACTGAAACAAAAATCTTGCACTGACAGGCAACTTAAATATTTTTGAATATTTGGTCATCTGAGTTGATGACCAAATAAAGCAATGATAGAACAGTGTACAAAACCACGGTAAGAAAATGTTACTGTGGTGGATTTTCCTACAACATATAATTCACAACTCTGCTTCACCTAGAACTGCAATTACTGTACTGTTGTTTAAATTGACTACTCCTGAGATACAAGAGATGAAGCAAACAGGGCATTGTAACCAATAAATCTAAGAGTACATTGTGGCTTTTGTATTGGAAGCTTTTTTTTTCATTAGTTCTATTAAACTCCCCCTTATCCTTAAAAATTGGGAGTGATAAGTGTTGGCTATCACTTCTGATTTTTGAAACAGTAGCCACCTCTTTCTCTTTCCTTCTGCAAAGACTAAACTAAAATTCTCAACCTCACACCAAAAATATAAAACAAAGGATGTGCAGTAACAATTATACATTACCTATACTATAGCTATAATACAATTAAAAGGTGCCCAAGAGCCAGACACTGATTTTCTCACACTAGACTAGAAAAATCACCTTTTAGTCCATAGATCTGTTCACTGACATGTCTAAGGGGAAATACCTGATCTGGAAGCATGCTACTGACATTCTTTTTTCCAAATGTGAGTTTACTTTCTCTTCTATCAAGTTTTTATACATTACAAGGAAAAAATTCTGGAGAAATTATACGATTTATGCTTCAGTCTACTTAGAAAAGAACTCCTGTCCATACTATAAAGGCAGCACACATTTTAATAATTATCAAGGACAGGCAAGCATGAAGCAAATTCAGAAGTCTTAGCCAAATGTAAACAAACATTAGAGTTCAAGGTTTTACATAACACCATCAACTACTGCTAATATTACAAACCAACCGAACAAACCACAACACACTAAGAATCTCTAAAGTTAGCATTTATATAGAGGAAACGATTTTGAATATTCAAGAGGTTTATCAACTGTAACTTAGCACTTTATCTGTTCTCAGCTGCTGAAGGAGCAGAGGAGCTGTAGCAATTCTCTTTCCAGTTCACCTTTCTATAATCTGCTCTCCTGAAAGCCCTTAGTCCATTCCACTGCTTTATCTCCGATCATATCTTTAAACTGCAACTTTCTTCCCTAAAGCGGGTATCTGGATTCATATGTAGTACACAGTTAATTACCATGCAAGCATCTGTGTCTGATACTGCCTTCTCCAGTAAAAAAAAAAAACTAAAACTTAACTGTCTTCCACATAACAAAACAAATATTTTATGGTTTGATAATGCCCATTTCCTAAATACTCCACTTCTGTTTCCCTCAGTTTCAGAGGTAAGTTTAGCTTTTCACAGAGCTCAGTTTCTACAACTGTTTACATACCTTATTTTCTGTAAGAATACCTTGAATGTATTTTAAAATTATGAATTCACGCATGTATTTTTGCAGTAAACTAGTATACACATCACTGTGCTAGTCTGATTAGGAAGCATCATATTAAAGACATTAAAAAAAAGAGCACACTAAATTTCCAAATTTCTTCAAAAGTTGTAGTTTCTGTACACATTACTATTTCTGATTGCCAAACTGAGCAAAGTCAAGTCAGTTTAGAACCACTACATACTACAGATGAGCACTAACTATATTTGCATACATGTATTTTTTTCCTAAATGGTCTGGTATTCATGTTAGCAAGCTAATGATATCAGCATTTGCAAAGAGCATGTACAGCATATACATGATTCAACAATGGCATTAGCTTACAGGACTCTTTTTACAAACGCCAAATATTTTTGTATCCTGCCCATCAGTGGCATGGAGATTTATATGAATTGCAGAATGATGTAAACTATTTGGAACAGGTAGAGGAGGATTCAACAAAACAGAAAAGGATACACTGCAAAAGCCAAGACAAGCAGACACCACACTATGCTGATATTCATTTCTTGTGAGGGCTTCATAATGCTGTAATAGGCTTCTGTCACCACATACACTACTGTAGCTGCAACAGTGAAATCCACCAACCACTGATATTCTGGAAAGTAATGCAATGCTGAAAAATATAAGTTTGTGAGTGTTAAAGATATGTTTTAAGGCAGTTACTGATGTATACAGAATGGAGCAGTAATTAAAAGAGGTTTTCAATTGTGTATTAAGTGTATTAAAGTGAAATTTAGGTAGACCAAGATCAACCAAGTGAAACGCAGCAATGAAAATGTTACTCAACGATGTGAACTTCGTTCTTTACTTCTGTCATCCAATACTTAATAACTACTCAAATAGTTTTACTATTTTATCACCTCAGCTTTTATACATTAACATCCTAAATCCAAAAAGCATACTTGATTTAGATTTCGCAACACAGAGAGTAAACAGTTTTCCAGCTGAGTCTGGCTGCAATTCCAGGTAAGAGGGTTTGTTTTGACCCTTTGTTAAAGATTGACATCACACTGGCTATTATTTATTATATTACAAATAAACAGTTCTTTTTATTTCACAAACCCCACCATCTGAGACACTTCATGGTATGCTCACTGAGATTTTGTTAACACATCCTATAAAGCAATAGTTGTTGTGTAAACTTCACTGTAAAAATTCCAGGGATCATACAGTGTTGCATACATTCTGGATGTTATGGAGAGAGTTCCCATAGGTGTTGGAAACTGCAAAGACCATTTGTGACAACACAAATTGTCTCCCTCAAACACCTTCCCCACATGGACATAATCTGAAAGTGAGAAAACTGATTGTTTGACTTGACTATAAGCTACTCTTGGCAAATATATGAAATTGGGTAAACTTAAGTATTTCCAAGTCCTACACATATTTTGAAATAACAGTGTGGTTAGATTTACAAACAAAGTATATCTATTACTTTTCAAACACAGTCAAACCCTATCTTGTATCACTCAGGTTGACAATTACATGACATAATTTCACGAAAGTAACACTAATTGAAACTTGTGAATTTACTTCAAAAACTTAATTTCTGTTACACAAATGCTGTCTCCTAAAATTTAAGCTGAGAAGTCTCCTGCATAGGAATATACATTCTTTCTTTCCATATTTATCCAGAGTACACATAAATATAAAAATGTAGGTTGAAAGAAAATACATATCACACACATACTCATGTATGACCTTCCTGTACAGAATGACTATGATTTAATAGTCAAAAACTGAAATCTAAAAATAATAGTCATACTTTCTGCTTCCTTCCAAAACCTTCCAAAACACTTAATGCTGCATATTTCTGTACTTTCACTTGCCGTTTTTAAGCATTTTACAGGAATGCTTGAGATGTATGGCTGAAAGGGCTTACATTCCAATACTACAGCACATACCCTATGTTAGATGAGCAGAAAGTATGACTTGACATCTGCCAATTGTTGTTTTCTTGTACCAAGCTAAAAACTCTATTTTGAATAGACAATTATGTGATTCTTTCAGTGCTGTCTCATATTGCTATGGATTCCTGATACAACAGTTGTGCTTTATGCTGGATTTTGTCTACTCATCGTTTTCCACAACATTGCTATTAAATGTCACTCATAGAACAATAAAGGAGACTAAGCCCTACTACCTGCTTTCTCATTTATGACCAGTTTTGCTTCTATTCATTGTCTACAAAAAAGATATTTCAGCATTAATTACAAATAAACTCTTGATAGAAAGAATCAGGATATATTGGAAATAATGTATTATTGCTGCATACTCTTACCAACAGTGTCCCTTTCTGTTACAGATTTTGTTTCCAGATGAAGATCAATATCTTTTGGAATGGTTAAGGGTTTGTTTTCAATATGACCATTATATTTTCTGTAAAATAAATAAATAAACAGATAGTACAAGCATGGGTATGACAAAATAAAATTTTATTATACAGAATGACATTTAAAATTTTAGAAAAATGCAGAATGCTTTTTTTTTTACAAATACAAGTATTTTCATGTCTCTAACTAAAAGCAGCACTTTAAGTTCAAATCTTGGAAAACAACCAGATATGTCAATGGCTCGCAGCTATAACTTGACAGACTCTGATATACTGCTGTGGATTTAAATGACTTCCAGATCCTTCAATCTGAGAATGCATTGGGTCAAGATCCTGGGGACAGTATTTATTTCAGCCCACTGATTTTATCTATTCAGAGCTACAGGATGTTCCCAAGGTCAAAAAAAAAAAAAAAAAATAAAAACAAACAAACAAAAAAAAAAACCAAAAAAAAAACTTGCATTAGTCCTTGTCACAACAAACAGTACATGAGCTGACCTAACCTAGATCCTTGAAAGGGCCAACCTAATAGCCATCAAGCAAAGGCAATTTAAGGTATCTTTCTAATCTAAAAAAGATGTGTATTTAGACCACAAGGTGCTTTTCATCTGGTGCTCTCAAACTATACCAATATACTGATTTTAACTTCCCTGAAATTAAGTCATACTAGAAGACATCAAATTAAAAAACCCAGCACACTCTTAAAAGAAGATGAACAAAGTTAAAGAATTTGGTCTGGTAGACCAGCATTACTAACCACTGTAAAACTTCCTTCTCACACTATTAAAAAAAAATCATTAAAGGAGACCAAAAGATGCTTTGTTAGATTAAAAAATCATATTTAAAACTTAAGAACTCTAAAAGGCTAGAAGAAAAACATAAACTGCCACATTTTAGAATACCACCTCTGAAATTAGAAAAGGAGAGGTGGATTTTCCATAGGGAAACAAATTATTGCGATATCAGCATTAAAAAGAAATCAAATCAATCATGAACTTAGTTATCAGGAATGCTTTCATCTCAGCTCATATGTGAGAGGAAAATATAAGCAGAAAACATTAATAAAATGTTTTCATGTTATATTAATGCTTAGTATAACCTGAAGTACAGGAATTGTAACGGACAAACTATAGATAGGAATTGTCCTGGGTTGATTATATGATGCTTTTATCCCAAATCGTCTTGTTCTGTTTATACTGAATAATAAGTTTTACACCTTTAAGACTCTTCCAGAGAGTGAAGAGGGGAGGGAAGAAGCGCGCAGTTTGTTTTCAGACTGCACTCACTCCTCCACATTCCTGCTCCTGGACTGTGTTGTCTGCGGATGTACAGACAGCAGGACAGAGCTCCTTTTTTTTTCCTTTTTTTTTTTGCTTTTAGTTAGTTTTAGCTAGCTGAGGCAAAGAAGTTGCCTGGACTGTGATTTTTCCTTTTTCTTGGATCTGTTCAAGCCTGCTCTGGACTGAACACTCAGAAGAGCACCGGCAGCTCCACCTGAGGCCCCTTGGCCGGGCCTGGGCCGCGGCATTTCCAGCACCAGAGAGACTGATCAGAAACTGAGTGAGCCGAGCTGCAACCCAGGAAGGCGACTGTTCTGAGTTTGGTTTTTTTTTTGGAGCAGTGAGAAGTTTTATTGTTTAATATTATTTGGGTTCTATTGTTTAATAAACAGGTTTCTTTCCACTTTTTCTCCAAGGAGATATTTTCTCCCGAACCGGTTGGTGGGGAAGGGGCAATTGAATCTGCTTTCATAGAGAAGCCCCTTTGGGGGTTATCTCCCAAACTTGCCCTAAACCAGGACAGGAATCAAAAGCATTACTCAAAAAATTCAGTTGTGCAAATCTACACAAGAAGTCCCAAATACTGCCCAAGGACTAGACTACCTGCAAGCTCCTGTGTACTTCCATGTACTGTACTCCTGATTATTTTCCTACTGCCTGTATCCAGGAGTACTATCATCTTGAGTGAGATGAGCATTTTTACCACTGAAGCCACTTCAGATCAACAAAACTTGGTGTTCCTACACTTTAATTATCCCAGAGTACCACAATCCAAGAGGCACAGACAGAACATACCTAGGACCACTGAATGCTGTAGCTCAAAGTAATTTACAGTAGCTATGGACCTTTTCATTAGCCTAACAATTTTATATAATACAAACTATTCAGAAGCAGAAAACCTGCCTAATATTCTTGTGCTCCTAAAGCCTATAGTGTAATACACTGAAGGGTAATATCCACTGAATAAAATTAACGAAAATTTCACACTACAGCTGTTTCTGAGGCAAATCTTCAAACAAGATCCTTGTATCTCCTTTAATCATTTCTCTTTAAATTAATTCAGACTAAGAGTGTATTTAAGGAGCAGGTGTTACACTTTGCAAGACTACAGTCTTGACAAAGCAGATTCTTTATCTTGCAAAGTATTCTTTATCATGGGGTGTATCAAACAGATGCATCCTTATTTCTCCTACATTATCTGTTTCACATTTTCTTGTTGGGATGAATCAGAAGATACACATTCCATTTTGTGCAACCTAAATCAGTAAATCCAAACCAACTCAACAGGAACAACTCCCACTTAACTATGGTTCTTCATGAACCCATCACTTCTTTCAAGGACAGAGAGGTACATTCATTCATGAAAAAATAATTATTCATTCAGCTGTTAAACAAGCAAAGCAAAGAAAACATCACTTAAGCCTCCACATTACTGCTTTAGTTTCTTTGAAGTTTTATATTCCCCTTTGATTAACATTCACCCTGGTACAACCACCTACTACTACTATTGCAAAAGAATGGCAAGGCTGAGGAAAGGTAATAAGAGCAAAGGCACAATTATTATGTGGCAGTGCAATTGTATTTTTCAGTTTAGGGCTCCTATGGGTGGACTTAAAAGTATAATTACATAATTAAAGTTATTTCACATATTAATAAATATCACTGATTACATGGATAATTATAAATTATGCTCTTATTCACAATTATTTTTTCTCATTTTTGTCACAGAAAACTGTTAAGATAAAAAGAGGTTCTTAATTTTAAGGAACATTGCAAAAAAAAAATTATTACTTTACAATTAATAACTTAACCCAGAGAATGGCAGTGAATGATGCTGCATCCAGTTGGCAGCTGGTCACTAATAGTGTTCCATAAGGCTCAGTACTGGGCCCGTCCTGTTCAAGATCTTTATAGATCATCTGGACAAGGGGATGGAGGGCACCCTCAGTAAATTTCCAAACACTAAGTTGCATGGGAATGTTAATCTCCTGAAGGGCAGGAAGGCTCTGGGGAAGGAGCTGGACAAGCTGGATCGATAGGCTGACACCAATAGCATGAGGTTCAACAAGTCCAATTGCTGGGTCCTACACCTGAGTCACAACAATCCTATGCAGTGCTACAGGATGGGGCAGAATCACTGAGAACTGCCCAGTGGAAGAGGATCTGGGGCTGCTGGTTAACAGCGACTGAACATAAGCCAACTTGGGCCTAGAGGGCCAAGAAGACCAAGGACATCCTGGCCTGTATCAGACATAACGTGGGCAGCAGGACCAGGGCATTGACTGTATTCTGTAGTCAGCACTGCTGAGGTCACACCTAGAATCCCGTGTTTAATTTTAGGCCCTTCACAACCAGAAAAACATTGAGGTGCTCGAGCAAGTCCAGGTCCACAGAACCGGGGAAGAGTCTGGAGTACAAGTTAGATGAGGAGAAGCTGAAGGAGCTGGGGAAGCCTGGAGAAAGGGAGGCTCACAGCGAACTTTCTTGATCTCTACAACCGCCTCAGGGAAAGCCATAGCTAAGCGGGGGATGGCCTCTTCTCAATGTTAACTAGTAACAGGATAAGAGGACCTAGCTTCCAGCTGTGCTAGGCGATGTTCAGGATGGACCACAAGAGGAATTTTGTCATGGAAGTGGAATGGGCTGCCCTTCGTGGGCACTATGTGGTGGAATCATCATCCCTAGAGATTTTTAAGAAATGACTGGATGTGGCCCTTAGGGCCACAATTGACATGTGATCAAAGGTTGCTCTCAGATGTCTTTTCCAACCTAAATGAGGCAAATATGATTGCTAACCATGCTGCTTAAGAGCTAGGAAACAGGAAGAAAAATTAAATTAAAATTAACAGATTATATGGGCAGTGCAGAGATTAATTCAAATCTTAAGATTTGTAAGAGAGTTCATACTGGGATAGAAGAAACAGAGCTAGAAAAAACTTCCTGTGTTGTCAAAAAGAAAACCAGAGTGGATTGTTTGGTTCTAAACAAAGCCAATTTAGAAATATTTCATCAACATGGCCAGCTCCACCACCTCAAGATGTCTCAGTTCTTGACACAGCTGTAGTTCTGGTACGGCTGTTCAGAGTTTCATGTCTGAATACCAGAAATCTATTTCCAGCTCAAGCTGACAGACAGCTATTTCATCCCTTCAGTTGTCTTTTGATAGATTCAGGAAGCTCAGTTCTTTTAGCCCCCTTGAGTAAGACAGACTTTGTTTCCTGAATGATCCTAGGCAGCTCTCTTCACCTGTTCACATACAAAATTAATTTTTATTGAACACAAGTGATCAGAACTGTACACAGCAATCCAGATAAAGTTCTACGTTGGTGTCTTGTCCAAGAGGATTAATATTTCCCTCTCTCTTCCCTAGAAATATTTCATATAACACATCCTAGGAGCCCATTTACCTTTTTCAGAGCTGTGTTAAGAGCAGTGGCTTATAGTAATCCTATGTTGAACTAATATATTAAAATCTTTCTTCTCTCACTTCAAGATGAAAAGCTATAATCCTAAGATTTGTTTCCACAGTTTTTATCTAAATGCATACATTCACTAAAAAACTTGCCATTAATCAGCATTTCACAGACCGTTTTACAGATGGAAATTAACGAGTTCTGCATAATTTGGGAATGTCCAACTCTGTTAAACTGAAAAAACATGTTTTGATAAAGAACTGTGACAATTAATGCAAGAAGGGCAGTCATATGCAACTAGCAGCTTTTAACTCATGCTAAGACAAAAGTAGGCTGGTAAAGTTATTACATGAACCATATCATGCTGAAAAAAACCCAAAAGGCAGGGGGAAGGCAAGCTTAAAACAAGTATTTACCTATCTTTTTTACTTTTTCCTCTTTGCTTCCCTGCAAGAATCCGCAGTTCTTCTTCAGTGGGATGTTGATACCACCGTAAGCTAGAGAAAAAGAAAATCTCAAGTAAAATAATACCATTATTAGCAATTTAGAGAATGGCTAACTGCATAACAACACAGATTTATATACTTACTAAGATACCTGTAATTTGTCACTCCTAAGCAAGACACCTTTGTGTGTCAGTACCAACCCTGCCTGAACTGAACAACAACTAGAGTTCAGTTCTCTACAGCAAATGAGGCATTTATACATAATGATAAAGCTTTGCCACTCTGCCATTCACATGAAAGCCCTTCAGTTCTCTAAACACCAACTTTTAAAGATATCATCAAATAGAGCAAACACAGTCATACAAGGTGGGAAAGTTCACTAGAATAATTATACCACTACAATTACTCATTAGAACCATACTGTAAACAACTTAATAAAGTATATGATATCCCTGCCTAACCCAGTAATTTTCCAGAATCTGAAATATCTATTATCTAATAATCATTACCAATGTTTTCTCTTAAGCAGAGCAAATCATAACATCAACACTCCTTTCCTTAAACACCTTCTCAGTGATATCTTCAACTTCTACTAGAAAAAGTGCTATTAAAAAAAATCACTAATTTACACATAGTTGGCCTACGAGTCTTTCCACTTTCACAGATCAATGCAGCATTCACTGCTCATTCATTTAAAAGGCAAGTAATGGTATGGAAATTTTGAAGAGGACAAACAGAGATGGTTAAGTGTCTAAGATGGTATATTTTACCTAAATTTCTAAGTATGGCAAAAACCTTAGCAGCTGAAACAAGCCTTTTCCATATTCTGTCCAGATGTGGGAAGTCACTATGATCTCCACATGTCACTGAGATCTCCACTCTGAAATGCTGTGGTAAAGGAGACCAAGTATTAAAAAGGACAGACATAAGAAATGTGCGTGGAAGCAGAAGGCCACTGTCACCCATGCTGACATGGGTCAACACATGACAAAGGAATCCACCACCACCTCACATAAAGAAAATTTCACCAAGTAGGACCATTCAAATTCATGCTGGTGAATTAGAGATGATGTCAGATCAATTTCAAAAAGTTAGCAAAGGCAAATTTGGAAGACATCAAAACTCAAACAATCTCAAGCCATTTAATAACACTTGATTCCCAGCTCTGTTTTAGAAAGGCTTCCTTCATCTTGGGAACTCTTCAAGAGAAAAGAACGCTAATATCAGCCAACAGAACATCACACAATTGCACACTGCAGATTTCCGTTGAAGGAATTCACCACCGGTTCCAAAACTGAAAACGGCAAATATTACAAATTTTGCATGAACACAGTTTTGGATGGGGAAAAAAGGAATTGAATTTTGTATAAGTAAGAATGAAAGTTACTTCATTAATTTATTTTTATTATGTGTAGTACAGTTCATGGATCTGTGATTTGCAAACTTTGCTGCAAAAGAGACTTCAAGACGAGACAAATAAACCAGAGAAACAAGCTTTTCATCCAAGAAGTCAAACTACTCTGGATATGTAAACTTCTATCCTTCGCATGACCCAAAGCAACTGTGAAAAAGCAGAGATGTATTGTCCTGGTTTGTCATTTACCACATCACTCTGATCTGCACTTGGGATACTAATGATGAAAGTCACCTGGGCGATAAAGAAACTTTTGAAAATCTTTCCTGCACAGAGAGAGAAATGGTACCTAATGCAGCAGAACAGACAAAATTCTTGTTCAGGGTAGCAAGCTAACATAAATCAAACCAAAATTATACCACAATTTGCTCCTAATTATACTACATAATGACACTGCAAGTGTTATCTAATTACAAGTAATAGGATAAAGAGTTTTAGTATTTTTCAGTTGATAAACTCTGCACATCTTGCATTTAAAATCTCAAAACCAAAAGACTTGAACAAACATTTTCATAGAGATAGAGATAATAAAAAGTAGTTTATACCTGTTTTAGCTTACCTATGCTTAAAACTGAAATCCCACAACTGATTACCTTGTGGCTTGGACATATCCAAGTCTGAATAGCAGCAGACACACAGACATGCCCTAGTTGATTTGAATAAAGGTCATTAACGAATCTACAACAAAAAATCCATTTTCTCCTGTATCCTGGCATGGCCTGAAAACATAGTAGCTGAATTAGCTGAGTGACTTAAAAGCAATGCTTTGGTAGAGAATGTTTTATTACTTAAAAATTATGCAAGGCCTATGCAGATATTTAGGCTGCCAGATATTTCAATAAATCTATTTAGTTGCATTCAAGCTCTGAAAATAGCACTGATTGAAAAAGTTTGCATGTCTTAACAAATTTATGTAAATTGCTCTTCAAGATTCAATAATAGCTATTTATTCCATTAACAAGTAACTACCTTAAGTCTGTCTATCCTAACAATTCTTTTAGATTTTGAGAAGTCTTTGTTTCCTTTTAACAGACTTCCCGTAAACACAAACAGCCGTTTTTGAACAAACTAGTCACTTAATATTTCTGTCTTGTCTGATAACATGTTTATCCTCCCTCCCATTTAGCAAGGAACATTTTAGATCCATATTGCCTGCCAATCCTTTGGAAGCAGGATATTCAAACAAAGACACTTAAAAACCACTGTTGGAGACCAAATACTAGTTGAAGTTTACTAACAAAGGTAAGGGGGAGGAGGTGGTAATTTTTCCTTAGACTGCTGGACTGCTTTAGGAATGTGCCCGTACCTGCACACTTACACGTCTAAAACCCTTTACCACCCCACCCACACAGGTCTAACAAATGTCACTGGCAAAGAGACAGCACTATGGAGAAATGGGTAAAAGATAAAAGACAGTTTATCAGGTTAACTAAAAAAATAACTGTTTTTCTTTCTACCATTAAAATTCAGATTCTTGTTGCAGTGAATCTTCTGACTTATTTCTAGAACACAGGATTCTTTCTGACTCTTTATACAATTCCTGTGTTCAGGGAATTATTCAGAGTGCCTGAAATTACAATGCACTAAAATAGCTACCAGATACATACAAGAAAACTAAAAAGCAAAAGGCTACTAACATGGAATGCAATAATAAAATTCCCACTGACTTCAGTAAGAGCAGAATTACCTAAGCACAAGTGCTGAAATCCTGCTTGAAGTATTTATCAATCTGCAGATGCGCAAAGATAAATGAAGAAATGGATTTGAAAAAATATTTAAATAGCAAACTTCTCCCTATCACTGATACATGGCATGCCTTAAAACAAGGATACAGTAATTGAAAACTTCACAAGAGTGAAGAACATGGGCATATACTCACAAATTATTTTGCAAGAGCAATAAGATATTTAAATTTTCAGAGAAAAATTTACATCAATCTTAGACATAAAAGGTACAGTATGCAATTTGAATAATTGCTGATAAAAAAGACTCTCACAGTAACCTCTCACACCTTAAAAATACATGGTAGGCAGTTTCATATTAATTAGTGTTGTGTTCTTTTTAGAGCGCAAGAAAGGTGATTAACACCCTGCCAATATGGCTAACAGTGAAACTTCACACAACAATTAAGAGTATGATTCCTGTTTGTGTTATCCACCTGACAATTATTGATTTCTGTTATATCTAACATACAACTAAAGAACATTTACAGTCACTTCTCATTAGCAACTTGATTGGTGATGAAATCTGGAATATTAAAAAGGAACAAGTGGATAATTATGAGATGCAGAGAAAAAAGTCAATGCAAAGACTTGTTAATACTCCGGTGGAGTACATTATTATTCAAGGATACCCCTTCAGAAAGTAGGCAGTAAGGATTTGATATTCTTGAAATTTTAACAGTTACAAAAGACTGAACACTACCTGCTAATCATACAAAGTGTTCTTCTTACGAAATGAAAAAAACACTACCTATGATTCCTTTAAATATTTAACATGGTGATTTATATTCAAAACAGCTGCTGTTTTTCATTATTATTATTATGGATACAGCCACATAGGGAATGCTCCGCTTGCAACTCATTATGTCTGTTTGATCTATTGTTACAAGGAAGTAGCGTACTGAAATGTATACTAATACTGTCCTTTGATGTATTAAAAAGAATTTTTAATAAATAACTAAGCAGTCTTCATACACAAGGCTAATCAGGAGGTAGATTATCAACAACACAGAGACAGTGCAGAGGAAAAGGAAATCCTTTATTCTTCAGTATATTGTATTGAATTTAGCTTTTTAATAATAAAGGATGCACCTTGTACCTTTAATATAAGAGGTGAACAAAGTTAACTTTATGACTGATACAATTGATAGCAACAAACAAGTATCTTCTTTTACAGCAATACTGTCATTTTGCCTTGAGCCCACAAATCAGGTGTAACAATGCTATGGTAATAAATTCAATAAAAGTCAATTACTTAAAAATGCAAACAAAATCAGTATGTTTTACAGTTACTGCTCTGGTGCATAATTGCATTACCATATTCACACTTATCTTACCTGCCACTACAGAGAAGCCAACGAGCAAGAGAATAGTGAGGTATGATCTTCTGTATGACACTAGCCATTACCATGGTAACCACCAACTGTACACTTATCACACCCTGTAGAGAAGTAAGTTAATAACAAGTCAGTATGTGTTTTAAAAAAGTGGTTAAGTAACTTTAAAAAAAAGATAATTTAGTAACAGTCTGTATAACAGGCATGATACACTGGGGAGGAATGGGAGGAGTGAGGGGGCAGAATACTGAAGCAGTTGAAAAAAAAATCTCTGAAACTTGCTACAATCACTTACAAACTTCATCAAAGGGAAAAGGCATTCGTTCTCAGGTCACCACAGCTAATCTCTCTGAAGAAGTCTAAGATCCTCCCCCTCATAATACTGGCCTCATTATGTATATACAGACATTTTATTTTCTCTTTGTTTACCCATATATGTGGGTTTCTGTCTTCTCTGATTAGTCGTTTTCAAGGACTCCTCTCCACATCATCCTCATCCTTACTTTACCAACTCAGTCCATCACCTCTTTCCTCTCTAAATTCTAGTCAAATACCAGTTTGGCCACACTACTGGCAAAGATGCTCTCGTCCCACTGGGTCAGGTGGATACTGTTCCGTCTTAGCAGTCCTTGCACCTCAAGAAGTCCCACGGTCACATAAGTCAAATGCCTTCTATCAACACCTGCTACACAATGAGTTGTTAAACCTAAAACTCTACATCAACCTTCCCCTCCCTACCAGCAGTATAATCTTTTATCCTAAATAATGCACTAAGGAAAGTGCATGCTCTCTTTTCTTCCTTCAATGCTTTCTCCTTTAGTAAAACACAAATTGTGCAGATACTGCTTTTATTAAAAAACATAGGCAGATGAAATGTTTTTGGATATACATTATTATCCATAATTAAACATGATTGAGGGAGATAGAGACAGCACAAATTATCCTTTAAATATTTATAAACACTTTCAATATGTTACCATGTCTCATAAAAAAGTGCCATGTATAAATAAAAGGAGGTATTACTTTTTATACTTTGAAGTAACACCTTTTGAGGGGGCATCAGATACCATCAAGTTTCTTTGATGCTCAAGAGCCTCTTCACCTTCTCCCTCCTTGGAATTTCTACTGCTTCTACATTTTGGTGCCATCAGCTCCTTGAGGTATCTCAAAAAGTAAAACCTCACTTTTGTTTATGTTCAATTTCACTGATATCAGGAGCTGAATATATTTGAACACTCAAGGTTTATTAAGGATTATGCATAGTTCTGCATACAGATTACTCAAACTAATTCCACCAGCTCCCTAGCTACGGGAAGTACATTCCTAACAAAAAAGTGTTACCACCTGAATGCATAATATATATGCTATACTTACATTACTAAATTGCTAAGGAAGTATATACTCTTTGGGTACAAAATAAACAATTTTAAAATCAAATGTTTCTTCTGATGATCTCACACTAAGCCCTATAACCACTTCCACCCAATGTAAGAGAGAAATCACTGTCCCTTCATCTAGCCTCTCTACTAAATCATTATTCTCAGAATTCACTCTCTTAGGGTGAACTTACATTAATATTTCTCTAGAATAATGTATTTATTAGAAGCACAGCCTAATCAGATGCCAGTATGTCTCTTCATTTACTCCTAGAGCTTCCTGTCTGTAAGGGAAAGAAATTGCCTTAAGACAAGAGAAGGGAAAAAGATGCAAATTGAGGCAATTATTTTTATACAGGGCAGCAGGTCCACTACCTGAGCTAAAATATTTACAATTACTAAAAAGTTTACTAATAGAAACAAATTTCCTTACTCAAAAAAGGCTGCACATTGTAACAGAACCCATGAGGAACAATTTCTCTCTGCCACTGAATGTCTTTCTGCACCCTATATACTCCTTTCAGCAGAAACTTATAATGCTCATTCCAATAAAGTTACTGATGTATTTGATAAAAATAGAAGTACCTACAAACCTTTCAGTGTATAAATAAAAATAATCTAGCAAGTTTTAAGCCACCTGAAAAAAAAAAAGAACCAAACCTGAACCCACAATGACATCCCTAAATTTAATTTTGACTTTGTGGAGGAAATATCCTAATATCCCTCTGGTATTTTTCTAAACTTTAAGCAATTTAAAAATGTATATACATCGATATATACACATACATGCCATATGTGGGCATTTTTCTCGATTCCTGAAGGTTAGTAATCAATCACAAGCAATATAGTAATAGAGAAAAGCTGCCACAAGAAATTTTTTTTAAAATTCACTGCATTAATCTTCCTGCAATCCACCAAGAACACTAGTCACAGGAACACATTAGATGACACAGTGAGTCAAAATAACCTGCTATGTGCACAGCATGATTTTTTGCCAACTCTTTTTGCCTGGAAGTGTTTACACTCTGCTTGTAGGTTTACTAACACACTCCAGAAAAATCTACAATACCCCAAACTACCCCATATTATACGACTAGAACACATTTTCCCTCCATCCCCAAATACAGGGTTCAATTCCCCCACACTTCTGATTCTTCACTTTACACTAATGTCAGTTTAAATTCAAAACAACTAATTTCAGAACCACAAATGAAGATTAGTTGCTGGTTTCCACCAATACCTTACATCCTCTATTTGCACACTCTAAATTAGAAGACACCGGATTCAGATCTTACTCAGAAATCTGTAACTTTGAAAATCTAGAGTACGAGAAATAGAGTGATATGTGTTTGACGAAGAAGATGCTCCATGGCAAAGCTGACACCACAAGAGGTTTTGAGGACCTCTGGTAAACAAACCCTGGAAGCTACCACCTGATCTGTGTTGGAGTAATAAGCACACAATCAGTGACTGGGTTGACTCAAAACTAAGAGCAACACTACTCACTGTTAAGAGATGAGGAATTTCTGTAAAGATTAAATTAAGTGTCTGCAGTTACAGAATAGTCTGCGGAACTGAAACTATTTCATAAGGCCTTCAACACTGATTCCACATACATCCATGTCCTTATCATGCTTCAGCTTTGCAGCTTGAAACTTGAAACCAAGTTCAAGACACTAGAGAGAAAGGTCTGTATTCTGCTGATCAAAGACATTTCGGTCAGTCTCTCTAATACTGGGAAGCATGGGGACCCAAAGCTGACTATGTAAGTCAGTTTTTCTGCAAAACACAAACTGGCAAGCAACCTCCTGCTCAAAAAGACTGAAATGGTACAGCCATGCAGCAACAACACAGTCTAATAAACTGCAGTCTGGCTGTCTTTCTGCTGCAGAGGAAGATCTTTGATGAGCGGTGTCTCAGAAGTCTTGAGGACTGTGTTCACTTCCTGATCCTCCAGCAACCATGGTATTCCTTTTTTTTTACTTTGTTTGAGTAACATAACATACTTTACATAAAAGCTTTAAATAAAACATAGCAGAGAACAAATTAAGTGGTCCACAAGAATAGTTTCAGCAGTTACACTAAAGTGAAGCTTGATGATTTCTTCAAATTGGTAGGAAAGAAATGGCAGGCCAAAAATGCAAAAGTGTAAGGTTGAAGTATAACCTGGACTTTGCTTTTCACTGTCTTTTATAGTACATACCTGGAGACAGTTGCTGATTAATAGAAGGACAAAAACTAAGAATAAGCAGTTAAGATAAAGTTACAATACTCTTATCTGCATAGTAAGTATACTTACAAAACACCAACAGCTATCTCACAGTAACAAAAAAAAAACCAACAAATTTTTAAAAGTACTTCTACCTAAAGAATATTTTTCCTTTCATCATTAATTATTTATAGAACATGAAGTACAAAGATAGATAAGGTTGACTGTATTATGCAAAGACACCACTCCAGTCTCCTTATTTTGACCTTGCCCAAGGTTATTCCTCCTTACCTGTAGTAAAAGGGTACAGGTTTCCGTCTTTTCTTCCCTTTACCACCTACATACCTATTACAAATAATTCAAATACCCAGCTTTACACAGGAATTTGAAACTATTTGTTGTCATACAGTAACCATCTCCTCCATTACAAGATGAGAGCCTTGAGCTGAAGCCAACTGCTGTATGCACCATGACTGCAGTAGGGATACAACTGCACAACTGAAAAACAGTTAGTAAAATCCCATTCAAAACTTCACCTTCAGAAATTTAATGCCCACTGCTTACTTTCTGAAGTGGAAAGTCTTGTAAAAACAAGATTTTAACACAACTGTACTTGAGTATCCTACAGGTGTTAATACAGGGCATAACAATATCTTTCAATGATAGCACACAAACACACTAACATGGCTGTTGATTTTTCAAGTAAGAAACTGAAACGGTATTGTAACAGTAGTGGCCACCAAGATTTTTAAGAGAATAAAAAATACTCCTATCTTTGGCAATTTTAAAAGTGCAATGGTATTTGTGAAGTCTGGAAGATAAATCCACTTTGAAATACCATTTAATAGCTGACACATTATTGCTTTTGCTGTAAATGAGACTTCTCCTGATATAAATTTTTCTTCATAAGCAAATTTTTCTCCTTATGTTTATGTCCATGCTAAAGCTCCAGCTTGCAAAGGCAAAATAGTGTTGTCCTGAAACATAAAGGCAGTTCACAACTGTTTCCTAAACAGTAGAAAATGTTATATAAGATGGCTAAAGAAAAGTGAGGTTGCTGTGCAACATCTTAAAGTGAATGCTTCCTGTGAAAAAGACTACTTTCACAGAATACCTATAGTCATTGTGATAATTGTCAATCTCAGGCAGTTCAAATTCTATGGTTTGTAGACAACAGATATTCATACAGCTAATTTTGGAAATCTACACCAAGAGAACTCTTTTTAAAAATCAGATTTTTTTTTTCTATTGTCATGATCAAGGATTCCCTGAATTAGGATTTTCACATACCTACATTGTTTATAAAAAGGATGCTTAAAGTGGCATGAAGAATATACAAGGTGTTTCAATAATATCACCTAACTGCTCACCCTCACAGAGTCTTTCATACCCAAAGGTTACTTCTCTCTTGACCAGTGTCTTTCCACAGAGTCAAAGAAGAGCCATAAACTGCTGTGTGGAAGGACTCAGATGTGGACTCCCTTTCAAACAAGGTGACTTGCTTGAAACCAAACAACTTTAGTCAGTGAACAGCATTTTACCTGACAGTCTTGCTTCATTTACCATTAAGGCTCTCTAAGTACAAAGATTACAGAACTAGTGGTCATTAGGCAAATCATGTTATTGCTACAGAACATGGACGGAATAAGGGCATTTATAAAAATGCAAATTTCTCATTATTACTGAAGAGGCAATACAGACTACCTCTTGCAGTGAACACCAATATATATATAATATATTATTAAATTATAAATAAAACTAGTTCAGAGAACTTATATATTACACAGGAAAAAGAAGGTTAATACTCCATTATTACTTTTCCAAGATTTTCAAAATTTAGTTTGCCCAGTATTTCCACAAATAAGACAAGTAGGAACTACAGAAGTTCCCACTCTCTACAAGATTTGCTTTTTAAAGGACAGGTTCTGCCATTATAGGAATCATTTCAAGTATAAAAAGTGAGAAGACTTTAGTGCCTCTGCTGAACAGTCTAAAACACCATGGTCTTACAAAGTATTGAGGCACTTGTGCAGAGCTTAAAGTCATGGCATAACTGGCATTGCAACGCACAGAAGAGTTCTGACAGTCCCAGCCTGGCAGGTGTTGACAATTATAACCTGATTTCTAAGCCTCTTGGTGCAAAAGAAACTGATCAATGTTTCAGTCTCCTGTTGCTTTGGAACTGGAAAATACAGCTTCCAAACAGTGTAGAAGTAGACTACCATGTTTTGCCTTTGCTTATGTCATGGAATCACACACAAAGTTTATTTGCCCATGCTGCCAGCACACAGTAAAAAAACTGGACCCGATCTTTCAATTAGGCAACACAAGCAAGCACTCAATTAATTTAAATAAGGATTTACACTGAAAGGAACAACTTTTTGGTTTGCAATTTTCCAAATGCAGCTTCCCATACTAGACCACAGCTCCCACGGACTCCTACAAATGAGAGGAGCATCTCAAGGCCTTTTGAATAAGCATTCTAACCCCTACAGAAAGAAAAAAAAAAAAAAAAAAAAAAAAAAAAAAAAAAAAAAATTAAAATACTTAATGAGAAAAAATACAATTCCTTTAATATGCAAGAATTTACACTATAAAAACTACTTTAGTGGAACAACATGACTAAACTTCTAAGTATGAGAACAGTTAACAGGTATATTTTATCAAAAATATACTTGTAAAGTGCATTTCTTAAGACTTAGATCAATGAACAAACAATGGTACCATAGCTAAAATGACATTATTGACACATTCATATAGTCATATGGAAGAGAAATATATTAATGGCACGTACAAAATACGTTTTTATACCTAAAGACCCTGTTCCTTATATCTCAAATATAAGTACACTCACAGCTAATCAAATAAATTCCAGTGTTTTAAATGCTAACTAAAACCTAAATATAAAATTCAGCATATATCTAGAGATATATCTTTATATAATTTAATATTCATTAAATACTTAGCCTGCTCTATTGAAGCAACATATATCCAACAAGGTTACATGGTTAGTAGGAATTACACCAAACTTTGCTCTATCATGTTACAAGGTCATTTATTGTGCACCACATTTAGCCCAATAAATTGTAGCTGTGCTGAAATACTTGCTATGAAAATCAGTTTGAGGTGGGACTTTTTTTCATGAGATCCTCTCCAGCCCCAACTGTTCTGTGATCCTACAACACTCACATGGTGCCACAGCACACATGGTAGCTGCGACACGACCCAGAGCACCAAGAGTGAACTTGTGGCAATGAATAACAAAGCATCTGGCAAAGCTTTCTGGATATATCCAAGATCACATACACGCTCCGTTTACAGAGGATTTAAGGAGACCCGACAAGACAGTTATACTCACAGAATCAATGCTGGAAAAGAACTTACGATCATCCAGACCAAATGTCAACCCAGCACTGCCACTGTAATCCCTGAACCTCTAAAACACATCACCAAGCACCAGGTCCAAACGTTTCTAAAACACTTCCAGAGATCGTGACTCCACCACCTCGCTGGGCAACTTATGTCAATGCCTGACCACCCAAACAGTGAACTTTCTCTTTTCTGACATCTAATTTGTATTTCCAATGTCTTGGCTTGAGGGCCATTTCCCTGCATCTCACTACATGCACAGTAGAAGAGACACCAGTCCCCACCCCACTACAACCTACTGTCAGGTAGTTATATAGAGAGAGAAGAATCTTGTGCATTTATTAAGAGACATCCTAACCCCGTTACAGAGCACTAAGTGCAGTGGCTCACTCTACTTCCCAGTGGAAAAGCAGCAGACAGGGAAACAACCAGTGGGCAGTAGAACCGTGTCGGTGTTAGATCGCGGAAGGCAGCCGAAACCGCGGTGTTCCGCTCACGAACGCCAATTACAGAGCTCGATGGTGTCACTCCGCTGCCTCCCTACCGCCCGCCCCGCGACGCGCCCAAACCTCCGAGCTGTCCCAACAGCCAGGAACCGGGGCCCGCAACAGCTTAGTCCCGATCCAAGGGAGGCGAGCGGACCCGGCCACCCCGCTCACCATGATGCCCGCGTCGGCCCCGCCAGCCGCCGCTGCCGTCCAGCTCGGCCCCACTCCCGGCACATAAATCCGCCCGCTCGCCGCTCCAGACCAGCGCACCCCGAGGTCACGCCGGGATCCCGCCGCGAACAAGGCCCTTCAGGGCTGTCCGACCAGCCGCCTGCGCGGGCGGGGCCCCGGAGCGCTGAGACGGCGCGCGACGGACAACCGCGGCCTCACCGCTGTACCCCCGCCGGCTAGCGACAAGCGAAGAAGGTAGAGGCGCCTGCCGTGGCGCACGTCCCGCGGGCCCCTTGGCGATAGCCCCGTCAGGCGTCGCGGGGCCAGCCGTCCCGGGCAGGACTCCGCCGCGACCCCAACCACGTGATGAGGGAGGTCGCCCCGAGCGCGGAGTTTCTCCAGCTCCCGACCCCCGCGTGAGGCACGGCACCGCCGGAGCCTCCGGTAGAGAAGCGGGGGAAGCGGGGAGGTGTCCGACACGGCGGCAGCGAGAACGGAGCCCGGCGGAGGAGTGGGAGGAAGCGGAGCGTGCGCATGCGCCGAGGTCACAGCGCCCTCTCCCATGCCGACGCTGCGCATGCGCGGCGGTGCGGACTGAGGGCGGAAGGGTGGTTGGGTGCCTGCTCGGTCGTGGCCGCGGTTAGTGGTACCCAGGGCGGCTCTCCGAGGAAGAGTCGCTTGGCACAAGGGAAGCAGTTGTCCTCCTTGCAGAATAGCCACAACCTGGATCTGTCCGAAAGGGAGACAGCTGGATAGTCTGTCCTAAAGGAGCACTGGGAAATAGTCACGTTGCTCAACAGTTTCTTCGTAAATTGTGCGGTTTTAAATGCGTCGCTGTGGTCCCTTATGTGTGAGCTGGAAACAAATAGGAGCATTCTGCTTGAATAGACAAATTGTATTTCTGTAGAAAACAGTCAACGTCTGTTTCTATTTTGTCGAGCTTCATCTGCCTCCTGAGAATCACAGGAGGGCAATTTATAGAATCACAGGATGGTTTGAGTTGGAAAGAGCTGTATGGATAATCTCACTCCAAGCCTGTACCATGTCAGGAACACCTTTCATCAGAGCAGGTTGCTTAGAGCCCTGTCCAACCTGGCCCTCCAGGGACAGAGCATCCATCCAGTTTCCCTGGGCAACCTGTGTCAGTGCCTCACCACCCTCACAGTAAGGAACCTGTCCTTAACATCTAATCTAAATCACTCCACTTTTACGTTAAAACTGCTTGTCCTGGTCCTGTCAGTATCTGCCTGTGTAAACATTCATTCTTGCTCTTATAATGCCATCTTTAGGTAAAGGAGCTCTAGATCTCCCAGGAGCTTTCTCTTCTCTAGACTGAGGATTGCAAACTTCCTCACCCTGTCTCCTTTGCACAGGTGCTCCAGTTCTGTGATTGCCTTTGCAGATCTCATCTGGACTCACTCCAGGGGGTCCATACCTTTCTTGTGCTGAGGACCCCAGAGCTGGACACAAAACTAGGGTCAGCCTACCACACCAAGACAATTACACTCTCAAAAACAAAAAAAAAAAAAAATACTAGTAAGGAACTGTTTTTCCTATCCTCATAGCTTTGCCTGAGGGCTCCTTAATTCAAAATCATAATAATTCAGAGGGAGAGGGTTTGCATTCTCCATTGCAAGGAAGGCTCCTGCCTTCCATAGCAGACCCCTGTCTTTCAAACTAAGAGAGATGGCACCCAACAGGGGGCCCAAGGGCATTGAGAGAAAAAGGGTGACAAAGGAGTAACAGTTCTTGAGTAACCTTATTTGTTGTGTGCTGGATATAGAAACCTTGTTAAGTGTCACCATGTGGTCTAGCATACCCTGGTTTGGATGGTAGCTGGTCATGACTATATTTCTCCCATTTGCAGCCCCTTATCTAAATAAGTTACATGGGGCATTGGCAACATAAGGTCTGATGTTAGCTTGTTGGCCATCAGCATTTTTTACATTAATAACAATGGCAGACAGACCACCTGTAGTAGAGCCACTCAGCCCCATGATTCCAAAACCTGCTTGAGTGAGAGGCTATGACTGAGGCCAAAAAAGTTGTGAAGTTATAGTTACATCTGCTCCCATGTTAATCAAACCTGCTATTATTGTGGTCTCTGGATATGTCACTTGGCTGTAATAATGCATTTCTTTTCCAGGCATTGATCTGTCACTTTTTGAGTCCTGAATAGTTGAGGTGATCCTGTAGATCCAAGACCTCCTGTACGACGACTCCAATTCACTGCAATTGGAACATTACTCACAAAAAGAACAAGTTGAACAATACAAATTCCTTTTTGAATAGTAACAGGGGTTCTCTAACAGACACCATGGCATGAATTTGTCTCACATATTCAGAATCAATATTGCCTAAATGTACATTAATACTTTAAATAATATACAAATATTGAATACAATACATCACACACACTGATGATAAAGGTTTTTAAACTAAGTATTTCATTTTACAATATTCAGTATTGTTCCCTTTAGATTTTTTTTTTCTACTATTTTTTATCTAGAATCTAAAGATTGTTTCTTATTAAATTTCTAAACTTTTCAAGGGTGAGGGAGGGGTCCAGGTTCCTCTAGGTGGAGCGACAACACAGAGCTCTGAGCAGCTCCCAACACTTTTGAGAGTCCGGGCAGCCGTCAGCCGAGGAGGGGGGAGACAATCCGCACAGGACGGCTCCAGCCCAGCCCCACGGGCTTCCTCCAAGTGCAGCAGACACAGCCCCCTCCGGCTGGGTGCAGCTCCCGCCCTTGCACAGCCTCTGAAAGGGCAGCAAGGGTGGAGGGAGGTCCCGGGGCTTTCGAGGGGTGTCCCGAACAGTCGCGTCCCTCCCCCACATCCGCAGCACCCCGTCCTGGTTGCTGGCAGCCTCTCGGCTCGGGCTGGGGAGGGGGAAGGGCATAGGCCCCTCCAGGAGATCTTATCACCGGCATTTCAGGAGACGAAAAATTAGAGAGTTAATGAAACTATTCGTCTGTTCAGTTCGGGAGGGAGTGGAGGGACAGAAAACTCGGCTTGTTCTTCAATTTGTCTCTTCTGTGAATGCATTTTGGCAGAAGAAGAACATATTTTAACTTAGCATTCAGTTCGATTAATTGTTGTGCCTAAGAAAGTCACACAGGCTGAACACAGTCCTTCAGAGACACATGGAGGAACACCACCTGTCACCCACAATAACAGACACCGGAAAAATCCCTGCAAAAGCAACTCCAGCAGACTCCTCAGGGAAAAACACATTCTCAAGCTGAATCCTATCTTTCTGCTGTTCCCCATTAACTAACATTTCTTGTTCTGCTTCTATGTTCTGACGCCTAAAGGCAGTACTGGCATCAGTTTCAAAGTCCTATGATTTTTCCACAACAACACACCACGAAAGACATGATTAAAAGCTTGAAAATCCTTCTTCTTCAGCAAAACTTTAAAACAGTTTCTCTCCCCTTATTAACTGATTTTCCATTATGTTCCCCAGTGGCTCACCTTTAGGTGTCAAAGTTTGGTCGGGACCTACAGCAGCTCCCTATTCTGCTTTATGGTTTACTGGAGCTCCCCATTGTTCCCAGTAGCTTACCTGCATTCCAGGTGTCAAAATCAATCTCGTCCAGACTGGCAGCATCTTCCTGCTGCTCTCAAAAGCTACAATGGGGCCCCATCTCTGGCTGTGCCTCACCCGACAACCCAACAGTCACAGCTCTCCCAGCTGCTGGCAGCCCTTTTCGGCTGCTCCCCCATCACCTCAGTGGTCACCATTTGTTGTAGTTGAGACAGTCATAGTTGAGATGGAGACAATATAAAGTAGCACTCCATTTTCAGAAGGCTTCAAACCTGTTTTTGTTCTAGCATGCATGCTTTTTATACAATCTTAAAAAACTCCTAAGTTTACACTTTACTCATTGGTCAGAAGAGACAAACAAAATGCTTATTGGAATAGACAGTTGCAGGTTTCTCTTATTTATCCTTCTTTCTTGGTTTCTATGTCAACAACTTTGGTAGGAAATTCTTCCAGGGATAAACATGGATTCTCTTATCAAACTTCTTTCTGGCTCACAGAAGTCGCTGTAAACCTCTTCCACACACCTGGATTGGCTCGGGTTCTGATGAAGGAGATACACAAGATGGGCCTGGTGCTGAAGGGACTTCAGCAGCTGGGTGGGAAACCCTCCCCTTGCCTTGAAGTGGGAGAGTCTAATGGTGCAGCAGTGGAACCCACAGACATTACACCTGCCCAGGTTCCAGCTGAACTTCAAGAGCAGTCACAGCCAGCAGCAGTCAGCCCTGTGGAAAAGCAGAAGTCTAAGATCAAACCAGCGCGCCCACTTAATAATGATGGGAAAGGAGGGAGGTCACAACCCACAGGGGAGCCAGAGGCTGAGATCATCATTGGATCCCTGTTGTACAACAGTCTCTGTAATATGTAAAAAGACATTGTAGGATGGGGACGTGAGTCTTATACAACCTGGTTACTTTGGGTCTGGGACCTTATGGGTACAGGCGTGCAACTGAATGGTGGTGAGGTAAGGAATTTGGGACTCTTGACCCAGGACTCGGTATGAATCAGATTTTTGTAAGAGAGCCAGGGTCCCTTTTCCTCTGGGAGCAGCTTTCAGTGAGTGCCAGAGAGAGGTTTATCCACAGAAAGAGAATGCAGTAGCACCATGATAGAATGCACGGGAAGACCGTTGAGGAAGGGATCCAACAGCAGAGAGAAGTGGCAATATTGGAGGATATCCCTCTTTGGGAGGGATGGACAGCATGACAAGGTCAGGTGCACAGGGTAAATGTTGTGTAACCTGGCAAAGCTAGGGCCATCCCAATACACCACTTCATTGCAACAATTAATGCCAAGGACAACTGAGAGACAGTGGGACTGAGAGAAAGTCACCAACAGGCAACTCAGAAATTATGTGAGTATGATCAATGGCCTGATATAGGCTCATGTCTCTGCTGTGGTTAAAGGACCTCAAAGTGGAGATGAGGGACATGAGGGAGGAGATGAGGGAGATCAGTGCGGCACCAGTGCAAATTACAGGCCCCAAAGTCAGAACCCAATATCCCCCAGCTAGAGAGGGAGGGTACACCCCACAAGCTGACCTGTGGTTCTTTCTGCATGACCATGGGGA